ATCAACCTCATCTATTTTGAATGTTATTAAAACTCCTTTGGATCCATTCCTTCAATTTTCCTAGTCCCGTAACCAGAACAACTCTAAATGGCAATTTTTTGCAATAAGGGATTTCGAAACCTTAGCTTACAGCCTATTTTTAAGCCGCGCAAGCATCTCGTTCGCTTCTTGGAAAATGCTGTTCAACACCCTGTGCAACAACAGGGGATTTGCCCCTGCCCCCGAATCTGCACAAGGTTCATCGCAATTCTAATTCAAGGCTCCGCCCCCTTGAGTCAACTGGATGCAGGGCACCCGTGCTATCTTGGAACATTTCGGGCTCGGGGCAAAGCTACCCCTATGCCAACCCGGGGTGACCGATTGTAGGCCCCATGGTGTCTGAGTCTTGTAAAGGATTTCAGGGATCTGGTGGCCTGAAAGCAGCATGCACTTGCTGAGCCAGGAGACCGAACCTGGTCGGCAGCGCCTAGGCAGCTAGAAGTCCTTATCCAACAGCCGCAGGAGAACGTACAACGAGCACACTTTATGATTCTTGGTTGATCCCTGCAAAGCCCAAACTCTCGCGCACCGGACAAACATCTGCTGTAGTGAGGCAAGAGTCGAGAGTGAAGGGCAGCCCTGTGCGCCCAAGCTCTGCGTGCACGGCTGTGATGTTGGACCAAATATTTCCGATCGCCGTTGAGGGATGCTCTGCAAAGAACCATTCTCGCACCTGAGTAGCCCCGTAACCATATTCTAATAAGGGCACCCTTTTTTGGGTTGGTTACTTGATAAGGGAACCCATAACCAAAAAAAAAGGGGTAAAGGGTACCACTGGGCTACTAAGGCACAAAGCTGGCGGGCACCTGCAGCCACAGCTTGCTGTCCCGGTAGCACTGGAACTCATCCTGGGGAAGCTTCACGCGCAAACCCTTTTCCACGATGGCGGCGATGGACTTGTGGACCAGTACCGCGTCATGCTGCGTCAGGCGGAGCCTTGCTCCATTCTGGGAGTTCTTTCAGTTCAACTTGGGTCCCCTTAGCCCTTTCATAATGAACCCTACATGAAAGGGGGTATCTACACTGAAAAGGGGTATCTACACTGGACCCTACGTAACTTCACGTGATGCGACGGACGACCCGGTTGGGTTGAGAAGCAGCCCCCTCAACCAGGCTCCTTGAACTGCAGCCCAAGCACAAGCTGTAGCCGAAGGGCCGAAACTTGTGCAGCGCGTAGCTGAGGGAACAACCCTGAAACGGGTTCAGCAGCTCAACATCGTACATGGCGTCCCAATGAGGGGACAGGGTCGCATGCCATTGCAGCGAGAAGCGGAATGGTGGTGGAATGTGAGGAACGATTTCCATGTGAATGACTTTAGGCCTCAGGATCTGCAGCAGCTCTTCAATTACAAGGCAGTCAATACCGTCAAGATCGACCACCAGGAAGTCCAGCGGCCACGGTTTCGGAGAATCCCCGAAGATCAATGCCAAGTACGGTAGCAACTGCTCCGCCGCACGCGTCGGGCTCACCGTCATGTGCACTGGCATCACTTGGCCCGGAGTCTGGTACATTGTAGCCCGGCACACGTCCAGACGACTTTGGTTCGAGTCCACGGCAATACCAACCAGGCCTTGGCCCTCTGGTGACGCCAGGAGCCGATGTAATGGATCCGGCGGCTGACACGTTCCTGCCCCGATGTTGAGGAATGTGCCGGAGGCCGCGCTCCTGGAGTAGGCCATGAGGAGTGCTATCTGCCAGAGGACTCCAGAGGAGTCCATGGTCCCCTGGATGGAGCCAGATGGGCAAATCTCTCCTGGAGGATGCTGTCCGACCCGGAAACGCTGGCGCGTCGCCTCGTAGGCGCCCTCGTCAATGGCAAAGCCCGGAAACTGCTCGTGCCACTGCTGGAGCGCTTGAGGTGTGAGGTGTGGCGTCAGGGAGTAGAATGCGTTGTACAGCACCGTCCAATCGGAAGACTGGCCCTGCGCGCAGCAGTGCGTGATGATGTCCACCGAGGGCCAACAAGCGCGAGTTTCGTGCGAACCCCCCGGGCAACACCAGGAAGGGTGGCGGCTGTAGGACCAGCAGGATGCGGCAACATTCAGCTGATCAGGCCCCGGCCCAACCCGATGAAAATGGAGCCACTCGCCTTCGAAGGTCTGCAAGACCTCCCTGTGAGGTCCATGGCCGTAAGGATCGACAGGTACGAGCTCTGCGTAGTTGTGCCAATCGGAGCCGAACCAAACCACTCCGGCACGCTCCGCAGCACGCAACCTCTCGCCGCGGCTGCCGTCGCAGAAAGGGTCGACAGATTTCCTAAGCGGTTGCCCTGGTCCGAAAGAAAAGCCAAAACATGGAGCACCCTATCCCTCGAAAACAGACTGGAGAATCCCAGCTTCATGCATTGATTCGAAGAGCCGCGGAAGCAGCCGTGCCCATTATTGAACTGCCACACCTCGCAAGATTCGTCCAGGCAGCAGCTGTCTCGGCACAGCGCTAGACTCGAAGAGGCCACGTCGGGCTTCAGGCCATAACCTTGCAAGCGGCTCTCATTGCCAAGAGTGAGGGCTTGGCTCGGGGCTTGTGGCATGATCCAAGCGGGGTTTAGGAGCGTAAGGAACCGGCACTTCGATTTCGGATTTGCTTGACGGTCTTCGAAACTTGATTTTGTTTATCTTTGTTCGGGATGGGCTTATGATTTTTTTTGGGGCTATGATGTAATTAGTAGGCGTGTTCGTGCTACGTGTGCTACAGGTACAGGGTTTGTTGTCTGAGCTTCGATGTGACATCGTTTCGTGGCTTTCCTGCGGTCGAGCAAACTACGTACCCTACCAGTGTCCCTTGCCTGGGTCAGGAATACCATAATTCCCTGCTTACTGCGAACCAATAAGCTCAATCCTAGACCCTACCAAGCCGCACTGCATCCCATCCAAGGTCTCCATGACGGGACAGGGTGCCGCCACCTTGGCGGCGGCTGTGGCCACGAGGACTGCGACGCGCATGGCTTGCAGAATTTTCGGGCGAGGGTTTTGTGCTTCCAGGATTGGTACTGACGTAGGGTTTTTAATATGTTTTAATGATTAGGGCCTTTAGCCTCTTGCATCAAACCTGCTCCCCGAAAACCCTCACCTCCATGTCATGTAGCTCCGAACCCTCTTGACCACTACGTCCTGGCACGAAGCCTGGCCACTGGGGAGGTCCCTGTAGTCGGTACCTATAAACACCCACTTGAACCCACAGGTCGCACGGGGTCTCGCAATTCCAGTGTCTGGGTCTGGGGGGGGTAGGGACTCCGGCCTTGTTTTAGGGTTTTAGCGTTGAAGGCTTGGGGTTTAGGCAGAGTCCATTGCCCTGCACCTCTCGGATTGTGAGGGTACAGGAAAGTTCCCTCAGAAGCCCTAACCCGCCCCAAAATCCAAACCCAGAGCCACTCTGCAGTGGGTGTGCAGGCACTTTTCTGCGGCACGCCCGCAGGTCCACACCTAGGAAACGACCGTGGCCTTTGTGATCTTGGTCAGTTTCGGAAACCTCGGCATGAGAGCATCGATGAATCGGACCGCGCAACGTCTCGCCTAGAAATGAACAATGGTTCTTGCACCAGTTAGAGAATGTCATATGATTATATTAGTGTATTCTTATATCTGAACTATTCAGATACTAGTATGCCTTATACGTTTAACATGTTGTTAGCCTTTGTTAGCTGTGCATCTTCTGCTTCTCAAGCTTAGGCTTCACAGCAGCACCGAGGGCTTCCGGCGAGGGGCTGTGTGTCCAAGTAGGCGTTGCCCTTGCTGGTGATCAATCCTGGCTGCCAGAGGCACATGGCTTCGAGAATGAAAGGCTCAGAAGCTACGGTTGCAAGTGATTTTAGGGGTTGCATGTACGTCTAGGGTTCTTGGGTTTAGGCTTGAGATATTGGGCTTAGGGTGTTTCGGGGCTGGGCCTCTCAGCGATTTTGAGGTTCCATCTTCGAAAGGCCTGCAAACTCTATGCCCCTGAGCCTGCGATTAAAGTTGGACGAGGCTGAACCCTGAGTTCAGATACCCGGAAGCCACAGCCCCAGATCGAAACGATAAACCAACCTACCCAAGCAAACGCCTCAAGCCTACAACCCCTGAAGCCCCCCAAAGGCCCATAAGAGAAGGCCGCGCCCTGCCTTGGTTCGGCTGCTCGCCATAACCTGCATAGAACTTTTCCACCACCTTGTCAACTACGAGGCTTCGGGGCTCGGGGTTCTGTAGGGAGCTTCTTTTTCTTGCCCGATTCTGGTGTAGGGTTGCTTATGGTTAGTTTTGGCCGTGGGCGTGCGGTGCTGGTTCGCATCTGCTTGGGTGGGAGCTTCAGAGCTTTTATACCCGGGATTGGGGCGGCAGGGTTGATTGGGCGACCTGCTGCCACCAGGTCCCTAGGTGTGTGTGTGTGTGTGAGAGAGAGTGACCAACCCCTCTTGCCCCGACAAAAACCCCCAACACATCCCAAACTCTAGCGAACTCTACCCCTCTCTCCAAACCCAAAACTATGAAGCCCAGCGAGCGCCGGGAGCTTGAACACACAAGCGCCCCGAGTCGTCATGAAAGTGCCTCCATTCCGTTGTCCAGTATCTCTCCGACGGGGGCAAAACCTCTGCGAATTTTCAGCACGTCTTTTAAAAGGGGGAAGGGGTTGTGGGCTTTAAAGGCTTTGCGGTTTTGGGGCTTGGGGTTGCCTGGAGCCCCTCGCCCAAGATTTTCTCGTGTGTGCAACAATCACAGGCACCACAGCACTTCGTTTGTCGCTAAGAGCTTGCCTTCAGATGGTCAACAATGAAGCGGAAGTCCCAAGCCATCCCAAGACCCTCAACACTGAAAGACTCCCCCTGATCCTTTGCTTCCTTCCGTTGCTCAAGTATGGCCCCCCCGCAGACACACACCCGGGCCTTGCCGATCAAGGAAGCTGTTGTCCTGCTCTTTCGGCGGAGACTTCGCAGTTCCGGGGCTTCACAGTCGGATGAGGCTGAGTAGGGCTTGCTCACTTAGTCCTTGTAGTTGATGAACATCTGGGAGGTTCGCGTATTGGGCCCAGCCGTCGCGAACCTCAGCACGAGCTTGAGAAGGTACTTTGGGCAGCTGTGAACGCTTAGGGCTTAGGTAGCCGCGATGAAGAGTTTCGGATGTAGGGATTTGGGCCTCAGACCCAACCCCCAAACCATCCCTCTGCACGTTCCCGAACCTCCCTGTTGCTAAATATAACATATCACAAAGTAGATATAACATGAATCTAAATCACCCAGATGAAATGGATAAACATTTGTTAAATCAATACTACACAGCGGGTCGAATAAGAGCCTTTATGACTACCAGAGAAAGAATGGTCCCTAAACGAACTCTTAATGAGGTCAAAACGGTGCAATTGGGTTGGCAAGTCAGATAGACCCCCCACCACAAGCACGACTGATGCTTCCCATCGAGTGCTTGTGAGTTTGCCCGTGCTAGCTAAACAACTAATCTGTGGACTCATGGCATGTCTCAAAGCCTCGTTTTCTGTGCGATCTCATCCATGAAGAGGCCGTGGGGCACTGCCACTGCATGCGCTACATAATATCCTTGAATAGTGGAAATGCGAGACAAGCTGCTTTATTGTAACTGACACTTTTTACATTTTCTTGCTGCCGTTGACTGAAATGTACGGCAAGTCAGGAAACGGAATGCGAGACAAGCTGCGTTTTTGTAACTGACACTGTACATGCTCCTGCTGCCATTGACTGACGTGTACGGCAAATCAAGAAACGGAATGAGAGACAAACAGCTTTTTTGGAACTGAAACTATACATGTGCCTGCTGCCGTTGACTGAAATGTACGGCAAGTCAGGAAACGGGCATCCATTGCAATGGGCTTTCGGCACTGAATTGGCCAGCGGCATCTTGCAATGGCCCGCAAGAGGGTGTCTGTGCAAGTGCCTGAACTACTGAACGACAGTGGCACTGGCGGAACCAAAGCCTCATGTATTCTGAACTTACACACACACAGCCATCAGTTCAGGCATTCGCTTCTGGCAGCCGCTTGTCATTGAAACCAAACTGACTGCGAACTCATGGCGTTCACTCGGTAGTTAAGTGGACGTGGCTGGAGATGCAAATGCTGGCGTTTACTTCTTGCGCCAGATGGTGGCTTCCGATACGATGTACTGGTACTTGCGCTGGTGCTCGCGGATGAGGAGGGGCACCTGCTGGTCGCCGATCTTCTTGAAGCCGCGCTCTTCCATGAGTCTCTGGAGCTGGTCCTTGGAGCTCACCGGTGTCTGGGTAATGGGATCCACGAATCCACCGAGCCATTTCGACTTCGGCGTGAAATCCTCCAGCCAGGAGAAAGGCGTCAGGATCACGGCTGCTGCACCCGGGCGGAGCAAGGCAGCAAGGCCATCCAAGCATGCTACGGGATCCGGCAGCCGACAAAGCAGGTTTGCCAGCAAAGCCCCGTCAAATCGGCCCAGCTCGTCCACCTGATCCTTCAGCCTGCAGGCATCACCGGTGCGGAATGTAACCCGCTGTCGCACTGCTGCATCGACATTCGGTTCATGTGCCGCTGTGATTTCGGTCTCGAGTTCGCCCTCAAGGGGCAGCTTGAAGCGAATTTCCTCAGCATCCTTCATCCTGTTGGCCGCATTGATGAAAGCACTGCTGAAGTCGATGCCCAAGACCTCATCGAAACCGCCGGCGGCCAACTCAAAGGAGGAGCCACCCACTGCGCACCCGATGTCCAGAGCCCGGAGGCTGCCACCGGCCTTGCCAGTCACGGCGGCCTCTACCAGCATCTTGGCGACACGCTGCGGGAAACGCAGCGCATGCTCCGGAGCTGATGGATGGCCCAGGATCGGATCGACAGCGCCGTGCGAAGAAGGGAAGTGAAGCCCGAGGTACTGATCCACCAGCCGCTGCGTCTCGTAGCCGCCAGAGCCTGCCACGGCGGCGCCGGTACCCGCAGCGGCAGCCGAGGGCGAAGGTGCCGACGGTGCCTGTTCCGCGTTGGCGGTCTGCATGAAGGACCCATCTAATTTCGTGGCTGGTGCAGGCGAGGAGGACGAAACCAGCCGGAAGCCGGAGTGCTGGAGGAAATGCGGCCGGAAGTGGTACCGGCAGAACCCCGAGGCGCCATTGTCCGACTTGCTGATGTAGCTTCCGCCCATGATCATGTGGTGTCGCCCATCAAAGCACGGTGTGGAGAAGTCGTCGTAGGTATAGTGGACCTTGAAACCATCAAGCGGGTTGAAATGGTCCTCTGTCCATTCCCAAACGTTGCCCATGGCATCGTGGTGTCCCGTGGGGGAAGCCGGAAGTGCGTCCACTGGAGACTGAGAGGCATAGGTTAGGTTGGCATTGGCAGCATTTGGGCCAGAAAGAGCATACTCTTCACCGCCTGCATGCATGGCCCGGTCGTAGGCCGTGGAGGCCATGTTCTCAGTGCGCGCCTCCGGATGCCGAATTAACTGATGCTCGGCCTCTGTGATGACCCTGTACGCTTCAGGGCTGCCAGCCAAACCATCCTGCTCGGATTTCCAAGCGCAAAAGGCGCGCGCCTCATGGTAGTTGACGTCGACGGGCCAGCTCCAGACCATATCGATCTCCTCGAAGATGGTGCGGAGCTTGAACTGCATAGATCCCTGCGGCCCATCCTGCTTCCAGAAGAAGGGCCACTTCATGTTCCGGTACTTCCGCCAGTTCCATCCGTCCTCCGACCAATACTTCTCAGTTCGGTACCCGCCGCCCGCCACAAAGTGCCAGAATTCGCCGTTTGTGATCAGGTACTTGCTTGCGGCGAAGTCCGCCACCTGCACCCTGCGATGGCCGTACTCATTGTCCCAGCCATAGCTGGGGAAGTCACGCGGCTTGCCTAGATTCACAGCCTCACCCTTGACAGTCAGCATCTCGTTCTTTGGAAAGTCCTCTCCCACCTTCGGTTCGGAGCTTCGACCAGATTGCATGCTTGAAGGGTGCAGCGCAGGCCAGGCTGCAGGGACCTGCATGAGGTGGCTGGGCGTCTCCCGGAAGAGCACCGAAGAGGTCTCGAGGTGGATCGCTTCATGCTCCGCTCCCATGAAGATAGCCCACAATGGGTGATCCCAGGTAATCTTCACCGGCGAAGTTCCATTATGGTCCTCAAGGTCAGGGTGAGCGGCGATGACATCGCTGACGACCTTGTACACTTTCTTCCGGTACTCCTGGACCTCCTTCACTGTGGGCCAGACCATATCATTCTTGTGCATGTCATCCCATAGCATCTCGTCCACTCCAACCTCCATGACGGACTCCATGTACGGATCCACAGGGTCCTGGAGCACTCCAGCCACCCGCAGCTTATTGACGTAGAAGCAGGGAGTGTGCCCATAGTAGAAGATTTGAGGATGCCGGAGGCCGTGCACAGGAGGCCTGTAGAAAGGCTCCTCACCATGGAAGCCGGCGAACAACACCTCGACCAGTGTCCAGGAGTTGTCGAAGTACTCTTGGACTTGCTTCCTGGTGACCTGGTTGAGATTGGGCATGGGCAGCGCCCGCAGGGCTCCATCTGGGGACACACCAGGACAAAGCCCAGGCACGGGCGGCTTCCCGGTGTACCAGGACAAGTCTCTGGGCCCGGCAAGCCACGCGTCCTCTCCACGCAGGTTGACCATCCACTCTTCCCAGTTGCTACGCGAGGCGCCCGTCTTGCCTGGGTCATCAAAACCCCGCGGCGGCAAGGTCGGGATGACCTGTTGCGTGGTGGCGAGGCTGGATTTTGGTCTGGAGGCTGCAGTCAGCCCACGGAATGCTCGTGCGGCGCTGCGGCGGCCCACCCTTCGCAGAGCTTGCTCTCCAAGTCGCAACATGTCTCACAAAATGTCAGAGCTGCTCCCAAGCACCTACCAAGTTGAGCCTTCTGAGTTCTGCGGCTGTTGGAACGTATTGAAGCCCGGGCTCGGGTCTTACTTCAGCTGCTCTGAGGGTGTTCTACAAACTGTTGGGGGGTTTGGGCTTGCATGTAGGAAACCCTAAACCCTGAACCCTAAACCCTAAACCCTAACTCGATGGATGGGGCCCGGACACCAGTGTCCCACGCTTGTTGCTGACCTGGTTCAGAGCTCAGGGGTGGCCCTGAAGACCCCCCTACCCTGAACCCCAAATCCACCCAATTGCTGGCTCTCAAGCCGGTCTGGTAATCCCAACACCCCCCCCCCCCCACCCCAAAAAGGTTTAGTGCCTAAAGTTTAGGGTTTAGGAGTTCAGGGGTCTGGGGTTCAGGTTATTAGGTTTTTACTAGGTTACAGTAGGGTCTCTCAATTCCTCAGACCGTGAAGCCTCACACTGGGGAGGGGCCTTCACCGGATCATCTGGGATGTTGGCCAGCCGATTCTGCGGCTTTGCGGGCAGGCCGAACCTTGTGAGGGTTTTGGAGTTTAGGGCCAAGTGTAGGGTTTAGGGTTTAGGGTTTAGGGCTTAGGGCTTAGGGCTTAGGGCCTGGGAGCTGGCGTCCAGGGCAACACACATGCTCTGTCAGGCTGTTGATTGACGGTCTGGACCACGGGAGAGGGTAAAGCCTAGGATGCAGAAGGCGTAGACAACAATTTTACACAACTTGAACTGTACATGAATATGTTCGCCCGAAGCCAACATGCATGTGCCTATGAATTTGCGAGCAGTTGGCTGCAAAGCAAAGCAAGATTGAATTTGCTGAGCCATCACTTTTAACACCTTGCGGTCGTGCAGGGGTGTCAGAACTTGGCTTGATCGACGACTGTCGGAATAAACTGCTGCAGCATTCCGCCCCTTCACCGTGAACTCTCAATCTTAAAACCCAACACGATGATGTAATACATGTAATGCCAGATGGCCCTGGGCAGAAGCCTGACACCCGACAGCGCCCCCTGAAAGAACAACCCTAACCCCTACCCCTCACCAAACCCTCTAATAACCCTAACCCTAAACCCAACACCCTGAACCCTAACCCTAGACCCCCCGCAGCCCTCTATGGGCTTAGATGCTTCGCCATGGCACTGCGCCACGAAGCCGGGAACGACGCGGAAAACCCCAGCCTCGGCAAGGGGCTTCGGGGTTCAGGTAGGGGCCTAGGGCTTTGGTGTTTCGGGTCTAGGGTGGCATCCCACGGTGTCGGGTCCAGTGAGGGTGCACGGCTTAGGGTGCCACACGATGAGCCGAGAGTATGAAACGGCTTCTGCGGTGATTATCGCTTAAATACAAGGACCATGAGGGAGTACTCCTAGCAATTATTCCGACCCCTCTGTTTGGTCCTAGGCTTTTGGGTTCCGAAGGGTTCCCCGAAATCCCCACAAGAGTCAGCCCTGAGTCGGTTCGACTTCACGGGGTCCCCCGGCGTCGTCATACCAGCCCTGCTCGATCAACCTCGGGGTCTGGGCTTGGGGGGCTCTTAAGCCCCCCTGGAACTGAAAATCCTAGGGTTTAGGGTTTAGGGCTTAGGGTTTAGGGTTTAGGGTTCAGGGTTCAGGGTTTAGGCTGCCCATTTCAATCAGATTCATCCCAGAAACCTTCACCCCTCAGCCCCAAACCTCCTGCTGAACTCCAAGCATGAACCTGCAATCCCTAACCGCAGACGGCAAAGGCTTTGGGGTGGAAAGGGTCCAGGACTTCATAGCCTGTGGCTTGAGAAGACGCTTGTGGTGCTCACGGATGTGGGGGATTGCTCTAGGATTCACTGGGACATACCTGACACGCCTTCTCTAAACGACCCCCGTTTCTGAAAGTATGGAACGCAAACGAGACCCCATTCTAGAGCAAACCCCCTGTAGGGCTTCGGCCCAGGTACCCTTTAGAACAGGGAAAAAGGGTCCCCAATTTAGAGAGCTGACCATCCCTAAAACCCTAAAAACAGGGGATCCTTACCGGGATCCTCTTGTCAAGCCCGAGCCCCAACAGCTGGGAAGCCCCGACTTCTTGAACTGCGCAGCACCTTTGGGCGCCTCAGCACCAGGGCAGTTTGGTTTCCAGAGTTGGAAAATGCTGTTGGGGCTGAGGGTTTCGGAGCCCTGTGTGGTGCCCTGAGTTTACGGGGGAGAGGTCTCCAGAAGGTGGGTAATCCTTCGGGGGTTCTTTTAACGAGAGGTGGTGGGTTAAAACCGACTGTATGCCCTCCACGAGTGAAAAACAGGACGATCGCGTCTCGGATTTGCAGGTCTCGGGCTGAGCGGGATACTGTCCTCAACAAGAACACAAGGTTTGAGTACCTAGGAGTCGCATCACAACTGCCTGCAGTCTGTCCTGGCAGCCTCAGAGCGCGACCCATTCTGGATGAACCCGGATCTTGATGCTGGTCTGGCAGGGAAACAGGGCTTGGAGTTTGGGCTTGCGGTTTGGGGCTAACACTAGGGTTTAGGGCTACCCTAAATCCCGAGCAACAGTTTGTGTCGGATGTGATTGCGTTTGGCAACGGATTAGCCGAGAAGGCCAGGTACTATGAATGGGAAAGCCTATGTTACGAACCATGTTTAGCGGCTCGGGAAATATCCCCGACGTTTAACAGCCCCAAAACCCTGAAACGCATGGCAGTGGGTTCTCCTCAGATCGAACACCCCCCCCCCTCTCCCGCAAAATACCAACATGTAAATGTCCTTTACCACAAACCCTTGTGTCTACCGATGTCTACCGCAGCGGCCTTACTGCTTGCCAATGTAATCCCTTAGAATCTCTGGCTGTATGGGGCTTCCCCAAAATAGGGGTACCTTTTTTGCAGGTTCCTGCAAGCATGCAGGATTATCTTAATTTGGGGGTACATTGAGGGTACCCGATAGTATAGTTGTACTCGATTACCCTGGCAAAAAAATGCGCACCGTGGTGGGCTCGTTGCCACCGAGGTTGACGTCCATGACCTTTGATGGCTGTCGTAACGCGGGCCTCGTAGGGTTTAGGGCTCACACAGGTCGCTCCGTAAAGCCCCAACCCCTGCAGCCAAAGCGGATGTTCCTCGCAGGTGAGCAAAGATGTTCAACTCCAAACCTGGCAGCCCAACCCAATCAAAACCCTGCACCCCCCTGAAGACGAATCCTACAGCTTCAACCCTAAGACACCGAGCGAACCCTGAATCTAAACTCATAGACTCCGAAGCCAGACACCTCGATGGCCAGAAGAGGGGCAGTTCTCTACATCAGGGGCCGACACACAATACGGCAACCTTTTCATATGGATGCCCCGAAAAGGACCCTAATTTAGAGAACTTACCCTACACCCCAAACCCCAAACCCTAAACCCTAAACCCTAAACCCCAAACCCCAAACCCTAAACCCCACATGTCCACATGCCAAGGCCCGGAACGACGTCGAAGTCGCCCTCTGCGGCCTGGGGGAGAGGCGGTGTTTGGCTTTTTGGGGTGTGAGCACCTAAAGCTGCGAACCTTTTAGGGTTTAGGGTTTAGGGTTTAGGGTTTAAAGCTGCAAAAAGGATGAGCCCCTGCTTTGCATGTCGGAGGTGCGTGGGTGGTTTCGGCACACACTGAAGCGTTTGGAGGAAACCAAGCCCTTGCTAACCGCCGTTCTAGCTTTCCGCATCTGTGGCCTTAAGTCCGCCAGAAACATTTCTCAAACCCTAAACTTAAACCATAGACTCCTAAGCCAAAACCCCCCCCCCCCCCACACAAAACACAAAAAGCCCCGGAACCCAAAACTCGGAGCTGGGTTTAAGGGATCATCCTGCAGTGCAACAACCTGAAAGGGTTTAGGGTTGAGGGTTCGAGGTGACCACATGAAATTTATATCCCAAAGCCCTAACCCTTAACCCTTACCCTAAACCCTAAACCCTAAACCCTGAACCCTAAACCCCCCAAACAATCTCTTGGCGCTTTGGGGTGCCCGGCCATGGCAGCCTCGGCACTCGACCTGGGTTACGGCGAGAAAAAGGGTTGCAGGGCGTAATATGGTTACAGGTTCGCAGGGTTTGAGAGGTTTAGGGTTTACGGTTTGGGGTGTAAGGCTTGGAGCTCTGGGGTTTCATAGCTTCGCAGGAACCCTTGTGCCCCAAACCCTGGACTCTTGACCACCTACACTTCCCCAAGAACCAATGACCAAAAAAGCCTAGAACCCCAAACCCCAAACCCCAAAAAACCCCTAAACCCTAGAAACCCTAAAAACCCTAAAAATCGCAAAAACCCTAAAACCCTAAAACGCCTAGAACCCTAAAACATTAAGACCCCAAAGCCCGAAAACCCCCAAACCCTAAAACCCCAAACCCTAAAACCCTCAAACCCTAAAATCCCAAACCCTAAAACCCTAAAACCCTCAAACCCTAACCCCAAACCCTAAAGCCCTGTCTGGGGCCCTGAACGCCAGGCTCAGCCCCGCAGCCGCGGCCAGCAGCGGGCGGCGGCCCTGGCGTTTGTTTAGGGTTTGGGGTTTGGGGTTTGGAGTTTGGGGTTTACGGTTGAGGAAAGTCGGGGCTGAGTGGCTGCGGGCTTTGGGGTTTTGGGCTGTGGGCCGTTCAGGGTTCCGGCTCAAGGCGTTGCGTGGGCTTGCTGCACGTTGGCTCCTGCTTCTCTTCGAGGGCCAAGTCGGTTGCCTGCCTCAGCTTCTGCTGCGATTCTGTGGCGCGTCCTGAAGCCTACAAGTAGAACTCTCAGAACCTATGGAGCCGAAACCTTCCGAATGCCAGGCCCAAACTAGAACAACCTCTAGCCTCTTGCCGCACTGCGATGCTTTTGCCCAAACTCCACGTTCTTCATCGAACCTGTAAGCGCATCACGCGGTGGGCGAGGGCGAAGGCAGAAACGACGAACACCACCTGAGCGAGGAGGACGACGCGCGGTGACTTGTGTGATTCGCACCCTACGGCCGGTAGGAGGACCACCATCACAATCCACTTAGCTTTGAAGCCCCAGCACCGTGCTTGAAATTCGCGACGAAACTCAAGCATTGATTTAAGAATGGTCGAGATGGTAATGGGTTTGGGTGTAGTTTCGGGTTCAGGGGTTTGGTGATCTCGAGTGCAGAGTCAAAAAACTCCAAAGTCAAACCTGCCGGCCTCGTCGACGCCAGGAAAACCTCGTGGGCACGAGCTCTCCACTTGGAGGGCTTAGAGACTTAACGTAGGGACGTCCGGGGTTTAGGATGGTTTAGGGGCTCAGGCTTTTGGGCTTGGGAGGTTTGGGACCTTTGGGGGTGAGGTGTGAGCTTTGGGGATGGTTTGGGAGTGCACGGTCTTGGAGATTTGGGGTTTTAAGCTTACCTTCCGGAAGTCCGTGAACCAATTTACCGCCACACTGTCGAATTCAGAAACAGCTCTGAGCCCTTCACTGCTAGCACGAAGAGGCCTACCACGCCATTCGTGGACCTGGCCATGTTCCCAGAAGCTGAACTTTATAAACCTCAAAGCTCAAACTCCTGGCGCCTGGTGCCACCTCACGCGTGTTCTTCTCGGACCACAAGGTTCTTCTCGCATATCTTTCTTTTCTTTCTTTCGGAGGGCATGGAGGCCGAAGCCTCCGGGCATCTCTCTCTCTCTCTCTCTCTCTCTCTCTCTCTCTCTCTCTCTCTCTCTCTCTCTCTCCCTCCCCCTCTCTCTCCCTCTCTCTCCCTCTCTCCCTCTCCTCTTGCCTGTAGCGACTATAGGTCTTAAGGCTTAGGTGTCAAAGCTTGGGGCTTCAGGGTTTAGGGTCCGGGGTTGAGAATTTCTCGGGTTTATCGCGCATAGGGTTTGGGTTTCAACCATCCAGTAACATGTTTGTCTGCAGGGTGTAATAATTTTACATTGCAAGCTGGGCCTTACAGGGACTTTGGGGGTTCAGGGCCTTGGGGCTCAGAGTTCAGGGTTCTGTTCCAATAGTTCTTGCTGCCCTAAGGTAACGGCTCATGCTTGTCTTGCGTCAGGCCTCATGGTAGCCAGCTGCAGTGAGCAAGAGATATCCGACAAACTTGCCGGAGCAAGAAAACCCTAAAACAGTCACAAAGAATCAATAAGACTTGAGGCGAAACGCCGGCAGAGCGCCATCATATGGCATCATGTGGTGCGCCTTGAGAATGAAGAACGCGACCCCAGTGTACCATCAACATATGGAACGAACAGAGAGCACGTCTCCGCTCAAGGACTACTACTCGATTTCATGCCTGCGCTAGTTTTCGTGCTACTTTTCGAGTGTCTGCCAATGCTACCCCACCAGGTGTGGGGGAACAGCAGTAACAAACATAAATTAGGCGTTGGGATCGTTTTTGACTCTTGTAGTAGTAGTAGTGCTACCCCCGCCCTACCCCCGAACCCCTACTGTCCCCGCACCTCTCAACCCCAGCCCCCAACCTACCCCCTGCCCCCAACCCTTCTGTCTATCAAGCGCTACAGGTCCGGTCGTTCCTTCCAAAACAACTAGACGAGGAAACGCCAAGCCAACAAAAAGGAAAAGCAATTGGGTCCCCGTTCAGAAATGCACATGCAAATGTTGCTTTCCGGCCCTGGCTAAGCGATGTACTCGTGAGCCATGGCCTCAGCAGCGGTGACGCGGTCCTCCTCAATTTTCTGGAGCAACTTGTGGGTGAAGTCAACGCATGCCGCTCCATGAACCTTGGGGATGAATACCTTCATGACCCGCGTTTTGTTCTCGGTGTTGAAAGGATACCTGCCTTTGAGCAACGTAAACATAACTACACCCAAAGCGAAGATGTCTGCCGCTGTTCCGTAATTGGCATCGTAGACCTGGGGCGACCAGTACGTCTTCGTCCCCACTTGCTCCGTGAAGCGATCAGTTGGCTCGGCCTCGCACGCCGTGCCGAAGTCTGCAAGAACGACTTTGCACTGCTTGTCCAACAGGTCGCTGCGGTCCATGAGAAAGTTATCGCACTTCACATCACGGTGCATCAGCTTCTTGTGGTGAAGATAGTGAACGGAGGCAACAATCTGGCGTGCGATGTGCGCCACATTCATGGGCTTTCCATCAGGGTCCTGAATTGCGTTGTCCAAGTCAGTGACATGTTTTTCCATGACGATGTACATGAGTGTACCTTGTTGGTAAATGCCCCGAAGCTTGACAATATTTGCATTGTCTGTCCTCTTCAGCATGTCAATTTCCACCAGCGTCGACCTACGTTCCTTGTGCACCATTTTGACCGTGCATTCCTCCTCAGTGCGCCGATGCTTACAGACCGCAACTTGTCCAAAGGAGCCTTCACCCAGGTTAGCGCCTTTGACTAATACGTAATCGCCAGATGACCACGCTGCTATGCAGTTATCGGCAAGCTGATATGCTTTGTAAATGTGCTGGCAGAGCTTCACTGTGACACTGAGGGGGCACACGCCCAGAGCTCCTTCAGCAGCATAGGCCCAGTCAATCAAGTCCATCGCGGCCAAGAGTGAGGGGGAGGTTGGCTGTGAACTGTACGCCCCACACCCTGAACTCTAACAAGAACCTACAAGATCCAAGACTCAAAGATCAGGAGTAGTAAGCGGCTCTTGGGTGACCAGGGGAAGGGGGGGGGTGGGTTGAGCTAAGCCATGTGGCCATTTAGGTACTATACTGTCTATACTGCAGACCTCAAAACACGGCCCAGCACTTAGATGAACCCGCACATGCAACCCAACATTTTAGCAGCCCCTTTTTTCCTCCTCGGCCGCGTGGGCAGAACCAGACAGGCCTCGCTGTACACTACGCTGCCTTGAGAGATCTGGCCTTCGATGACGAGAAGGACAAAAGTTAAAGTTTGCTTCTGCAGCTGCGGGAGGCTTCTACTCCACCGCTGAAGGGCAAACAAGCTTGGACTAACTTTGAAGACTCGGCGAGGGTCGCAATGTCGTAATGCTGCCCTGATGCTGGCAGCCAGTAAAGCCTGACCCATGGTTGCCCCTACAACCACAACCATTCCTAAACCCTAAGCCGCTCTCTCACCAGGTCCTCACGCATGGGTCCCCACGAGGAGCCAGCAATTTCAGGCCACCTGACAGCATCACCTCAGACAAGGCATCGAGAGCGGTGCCGGGCTTAGGTTAGACCTCAAGGGTTGAGGGATTGGGCTAGGGGCCGGGGCCTTCGGGTTTGGGGTTGCGGTGCGTGAACAAAAACGCTCCTGCCAAAAACACCTCCTAGAAACTGATGTCCTTTCGGGGGGGCCCGGGACAGGTAGGGGGTCACGGGAAGCGTGATTCACTTGCCTCAAGCCCGAACCTCCAAACGCCCGAAGCCATTGCACTGCCAAGCTACGAAAGATTCTAATTGCGCGTTTAGGGGGTGTTCAGTCGCAGGAGTCCCGGGTGCTGTCGAAGCGCGTCTTGGAGCAGCAGTGGCAAGCCACGGTTACCTCAGAGGCACCCGTTTGAGACTTAGGAGAAGGGGGCGGGAGAGGGGTGGCTGCGGGAAACTGCCGGAGAACTTGTTACAGGATGTGTCTCCCCTGGGGCCCCGAGCATACCAAACTGCCACTGAAACCATTTGAACAAGTCTCGAATTCACTACTACTTGCCAGTCAAAAACACATACCCAAAATACCCATTATAGTTGCATAGGAACCTAAATTGCAGCCCCAAGTTTTCAATCACCCAAGTATGTTGAGGTCCCTGCGGCCATCAGCACGCAAGACGCGAAGACGCTCGGAATCGTCACCCACATCCTCGGAGTTGCCGGAGGGCTGCAGGAGCCCCGCAAGCCGGGCCGAACAGGGAGTTCAGGGCCCAGGATTGCGGAGGCTTTTTCAGAGGCGGGCGGGCTACCTCGGGGGGCTTTGTGGGTCTCCAAGCCCCGGGTCAAGACCGCGTTGCGGAGTTGTTGCGGAAGCCTGTTCCTGAACCGAAAGAGCTTCGATGCAAGCCCGAAACCCGCAAGCCCCAAAAACCCAAGACCCTAAGGCCTTAAGAACTCCAGCCCTGAACCACAAAACGCCACATCCTACCCCACAAACGACCACCCTAGGCCTTAATCAAGTCCTGAGGCCCGAGATGCCCTCAAACGGCCTACACCCTAAACCCGGCCCTGGGCTCCCGGCGGCCACAAGGAGTCGTCGAAGCCTGTGAAGGACCACCTGTCCACAGCTCATTCATGAAAAGCAGGGCCTAGCAGCGCATGTGATTTGATAGTGGTATTGAAGAGCCAGAAATATGAACAAGCGTTCAAGAGAAGAGGAGCCCATGGGCTGTCAACCCTAAACCCTAACCCTAACCCCTAAAGCCCCAAGCCGCAGCGGAAGACCGAAAGCCGAGTGTTGACAAGCCCAAACCTTTCAACCCCCAAGGCCTTGACGTTGCTGACCTACAAGCTCTTTGTGGCCAACTTGGCGTGGCCCTCTACATTTCCTTAAAAAAGGCTGGCACCGAGGTACCTACTTCCCTAGCCCTGCAAAATTTGCACAATACCTCAGTGCTTCTTTGGCTTGGTGGCTTTGGGTTTAGGGTTTGAGTTGCCCCCTAAAGCCCTGAACCCCAAGGGCCCACGGCTTCAGGTCCCTAACTTGGGCTTAAGAGAAGCTTATTCTGGGTTAGTAGGCAATGAGGGAATGAGGTACCCTATATCCCCTATATATACCCTTTAAGGGATGATATAGGGTACCTCATTCCCTCATTCCCTACTAACAAAAAGTAAGGACATGGATGCCAAGACCGCTAGCTGCCGAGGACCCAGCACAGTCCAAACGGCAAAGTTGCCAAGCACCTCAGCCGAATTTCACTCTAACCCTGAATTCCCCTACACGTCTACCTACACGTCTAAACTACCAATAAACTCTAAGCCTTGATGACCCATAATCTTCAAGCCCGAAACCCCTTGGGCCCGCCCCCCCCCCCCCCCGCCCCTCATTCCTCAACCCAAACGTCCCCTAAGCCCCCAAGCATGCAGCGACTTATATCGCTGTGGGAGCTTGACCTCATTCCACAAATCCTAAACCCCAAGCCCTAAGCATCCCAGAAAGATCCCAAAGGAACCCAGGGCCTCAAAGAACCCTCAGCGTTAAGCCCAAGCTCTAAGCGTTATCCTACACACTAGCAAGATCCACAACCCCTACCCCTGCAGCAGGCCAAAGACTGACTCAGCTCAGGGATCCCTGCGATGGCGCTCCCTCCACAAACCCTTTCAAATGCAGAGAGACCCTTTGGTGCAGGTCAACTCAAAGTCGAAGCACTTCTGGCATCACATAGCATGCATGCCGCCGCTGCACCCTGCGGACTCTGGGCCTTCATCCCTTGCGGACTTCTTTGAAAAACTGCTCCGTGCTGTCAACATGTGGCAGGGATGCCCCATCGCTACACTTTGTAATGGTCTGAATTGGCGGTCCCGGCCCTCGGTCCCCTGCACATGATCCTCGTGAACCCTAAACCCTAAACCCCGAAACCCTAAACCCTAGGCATGGCCTTGGAGTGCTGTTGGGATGCTGTTGGGGTGCTAGGCCAAGGCGGGAGTGACGAAAACATGTACTCCCTTTGATGTTGTATTTGTACATTCTGAATCTAGATTGTACATCTATTAAATTACACACCGTCTTGTTTACTACATTGTACATAAGAACCGGGTCGTGCAAGCACTGAAGAACCCGACCACGCAGAGGCCCCGGCAATATTGCCGAGGACTGTCAGCAGCCACCTGCACCCCAGGAGTTCCACTTGTTGAGCGGTTCCCAGGTTGCTTCCTTCGCCCTCAAATCCTAAACCCGAAGGCGCCGAAACAACCAAACCTTACACCCTCGACCCTAACCCTAAACACCCAAACCCTACAACCCTAAACCCCTAAACCCAAACCTTAAACCCCAAACCAAAACCCTCAGTTCTAAACGTCACAACAAGGCAGGCCTTGGGCAGCCTCTCTGTCGCCCTGGGTCGCTGCATCATAGGATTTCGGGTTTCGGGTTGTAGGGCTTAGGGATTCAGGATGTGGGGGTTTAGTTTAGGGTTCCCTGATACCCTTCTTATACCCCCCCCCACCCTTTACCAGGGAGCCCTCTCTGATGGTATGGGACGCTTATGTCTTGAGTTTAGGGTCGGACCGGCAGGCTCCGGGCAAAATCCACTAACCAATTTAGTGTTTAGGGCTCAAGGCTTAGGAAGCACTCAGCATGGGGGTTTACGAAAACAAGGTACCCCCCTAGTATAGTCCCCAAACAGTAGGATTCCCTTATCATCAGGGATAAGGTACCCCCCCTAATTTCGGAAACCCCCATATACGTGGTTCAAACGCTTGCCCCTGAGGTCCCGTGCTGGGTAAGGTCCATGGCAGTACCTCGGCTGCCACCAGGTTTGAAGTTGTTCAGCGTTTCTTCGGGATGGGGGGGGGGAGCTTTAGGGCTTTCAGGGTTTCGGCCCTAGGGTTTGCTTTTAGAGCCCTAGAACCCTCCAACCTGGCCATAGGGTCTAGGTATTTAAGGTGAGCCAGACCCGAACCCAGGGCTTCAAGCTCCAGGGCACCAAATGACTGCCGGCCACAAGGACCAAGCAAGTCTCGCTAGGGAAACAAACGGTTAATCTCTGCGGGGATCTACCTGGGGCCACAGAAAGAAGTCACAGGTCGCCTACTCCACTACTCAGAAACGTGCGAGCCGGGGTGCATTCACGACATGTGCGAAGACCGAGAGCGCGGTGCCGAAAGTGACCTGAGGGTGCTGTCGGTTGAGAGTGAGGGTATGCTGTTTTGGGGCGGGATTCGGGGAGAGGATGTAGGTGTAGAGCCTAAGCCTACGAGAGAACCCCAACCCCAAACGGGGCTTCGGTGAGCCCGGAAATCGGGGATGTAGGGTTTTCGGGGCTACTGGTTGGGGGTTTTGGGTTTACAGGTTCCTGACTTAGGGTTGGACACCTGAAGCCCTGGGCGGCGCTGAGGCCGAAGCCCACATCGGCCACGGATAGGAGTCGCTCAGGAGGACGAGGTACAGCGTCCACACCATCCTTCTGGGTTTGGGGATTAGGGCTGCGGGCTTCGGGTGTAGGATTTGGAGTTTGCAGGGTCAGGGCTTGAGGTGTTTGGGGGCCTAACGTTCAGACCGGCTGACGCTGGGAGCCAGGCACATTGACCAGCGCCACCACGAAGATGTGCAGGCCCAGCGCCGTCGCGACACCTGTTCTTGCAGAAGAGCGTGATAAAACCCTCAACCCGATTCCCCAAACCGCATCAAAACGGAACCTTCAACTCCGGTTCAGGGTTTAGGGTTTAGGGTTTAGGGTTTAGGGTTTAGGGTTTAGGGTTTAGGGTTTAGGGTTTAGGGAGATGCTGCTCCCTCTTAAGGCCCATTGGGCGTGGCTGAGGCCTGACTTCGAGTAGCTCGATTTGGTGAGGAGGGGTAGTTCTCTAAATTAGGGTCCCAACCCTAAACCCTAAACCCTAAACCCCAAACCCTAAACCCTAAACCCTAAACCCTAAACCCTAAACCCTAAACCCTAAGGGATCCTTTTTCAGGCTGGAGGACGACCGGCCCTGAAGCCCCGAGCTCTCCGAGGCCGCGGCAGCGAGTCGGGCATGGATGCTGCAGCGGAGCAGGTGGTGGTTTAGGGTTTAGGGTTTAGGGTTTAGGGCTTAGGGTTTAGGATTTAGGGTGTAGGGTGTAGGGTTTAGGGTTTCGGGTTTCGGGTTTAGGGTTGAGGGCCATTATGTACCTTCGGGGGCTTCGGGCGTCTGTTCATTACCTCTTTGCTGTGTAGGCAGAACTGATAACACAAATTCTGGGTAGAAAGAGCCCGGAGTTGAGTTTTGGGGCATTGATCGGTTCGGGCTTTGGGGGGTTTGTGAATGAGGGTTGAGGGCTCGACTGGCATCGCAATCCTGAGGCTTCTTTGGCACCCTCTGTTAGCAAGGAGTTTGCGATAATAAAGGCTCCCAGACAGGGAACGTAGCTTGGATCGACCCCCCCAACCTAAATGTTTGGGGCCTTGGGTTTATGGCTTGACGCTTCTACTCGACAAAGCCGAACCCTAGTGGAGACCCCTGACCCAAACAGCCACCTTGTTACGTGCGTAATTGCCCTCTAATTTGGTGCGCCTTTTGGAGAGAGCTTTCTCAAGGGGGAGGTTTATAGTTTATAGGATTTCAGGGTCTGAAACCCCAGAGCCCTGAACCCGACTAATGTTCATCACCCAGCCTCTGTCTGACGCCCGGCCAGCGGAACTGCAAGTCCCGACGGCCTCTGCTTGGCATCGAGGGGCGTTGCGGGGAACCGGGTTGAGGACTCTAACTGGGGTTTAAAGTTTAGGGTTTAGGTGCATGACCTTGCATCATACTAGGAGGCAAATCGTCAAATATTTCCTGGAAAGCTTCCATGAAAACTCTGAACCCTGCATCCGCAAGCTTCTTGCCGAGGGCTCGACACCGCGGCGTTCCCTTGCATCGATGCTGAAGGTGGAGGTGCCTTCGAAGACGAGTGTGTAGGGTTGAATCAGAAAAGGGCTTAGGGTTGAGGACTTGTTTTCAAGATGAGGGCTTCAGGAGGTCCTGTAGACGTGCAGGCATGTGCAGGCGGCCTTTGAGACTCAACACCCTCCTCTCGAAACCCAAGCCCTCAAGCCCTACCAAGCCCCAAACCCTGAACACCAAAATATGAAATGGGGCTGATGTGCTAGGTTCAGAGTCTCCTTCACCTCCATTCGGGCGGAGGCAGTACTGTTGCAGGAGACTGAAAAAGGAGTCCTTACTGGTTCTTAGCAGGGAAGCTGCAAATTGGGTAGTTTCCGTTGACATCTCCCCAAGTAATAACAAAACGAACCTTATTTAACAGAACTACTCCTATGAGGTGAGGGTCAGGAGAGGGGGCGAACCGACAGAAACCAACTAAGGACATGGCAGACGCGGGAAGCTCGTCATATCCGCGCAGCGCTTGCTGCGGCACGGGCAACACCGGCGTCGCGGGAGACATTGCAGCTGAAGCTACTAGGCTAAGGGCAGTGTGTGTTGGCACACGGGAGATTACACCCGCGTGTCGTGGTGCAGTGTCGGCGTCTTGCTGCTTCTTCTAGCACCTGAGGCGCTCGGTCATGCGAAGCGTTTCAACTTCCCTGGGCTGTTCAGCAGTTTACCTGCAGAAGCTCGTGCCGGTCACATGCGCATCCGAAATGCCGAGTGGTTAAGCTGATCTGTTCTGGGTTGTGGGTGTGCTTCAGACTCAGCAGCTCACAGCCCGATGCAAGCCTGCCTTCCCTTGTAACGCGTTACAAGGGATCCCTGCGGAAGACGTTCGACTTCCGCCGCTTCCCCACAACCAGCAAGCCCTTTTCTACTTCCTCTTGCGCCACATCTGCTGCAGGCGCCAGTCGCAGATCCAAATGCAGGCGTAGGCGGCCTAGGCAGAGTTGTAGGGGAACCTTCTCAGAGCCCTGCCATCTTTTACTACGAATTCGAGCCTTGCCTTACACCCCAGTACTAAGGGTCACTGCAGCTCGGGGCAGGGGAGCGCCCTGCGGTCCGCGACAGTAGGCGTTCTTCAGGAGTCGTCATGAGAATTCGCGAAACGTCCGATACCGTGGCAATTTGCGCACCTGCAACATGCTTCGATCACCCCATACGCTCTAAACCCTGAATCCCTCTTTTTGAGCCGCATCTGAAGCAGTTAAGCTCTGCGACCTTTTCCAGGGTTGCCCCTAAGAAGGTGCCTATTTCGGCTGGGAGGCTGGAACTCCCTCTTTTCGAGCCCCCAGATTCCCCGGCTCTGAGAGCGGCGCCCTGACGAGCAGCAGAACAGTCTCAGCACACCTGGCTGCTTGGGTTTGGGGTTTAGGGTTTAGGGTTAGGGTCTAGGGTTGAGTGCTTAGGGTTTGAAAAGTATCCGCCGACCCTGGCGGCGTGTTGGATGGGAAAAGGAGGTGAAACCTCCCTCTTTCCCCCCCCCCAAAACGCGGGGGGGGGGGGGGGGGGGGGGGGGGGGGGGTGGGGGGGGTCGGTGCACAATTTTTTCGTGGAGGACCGCGCCACCCGCACAGCGTAAACAGGGGTTCAGCATGGGGGGTAGGGGCGCCCTCAGCAAAATCAGCGTTTCCCGCCTCCACCCCCCCCACTGCCCCCCCCCCCCCACCCCCACCCCACCCCCCACCCCCCACCCGCCCCACCCCCACCCACCTGTCTTTTTGGCTTGAGCTTGTCCTGGTGCTACCCCCTACCCCCCCCCAAACGATTCACAGAACTCTGCCGAGAATGATCTTCCATGCGAGCGGGTCTCAACTATGCTCCAGCGGGGTCGGCGGCTTGAGCCGGAGGCTCTTAAATAAGCCTGCAATTTTACATATACACCCCAAGCCCCTTGTGTTTGGAGTACACGCCCCAGATTCTTTGAGTACTCATCCCTGGAGCCTCTTCATGGACACACATCTAACATACTTGAAAGGCCATGCCATGAAGCAACGTGAGACATTGCACGATTCCGAAACCCCCAAACGCCTTGCTCTGAACCCTAAACCCCCCTTGTCATGGTCCACAGCTGTTTGAAACGCGAAATGATTCGAGCAGAGTCGTTCATGAAAGTGCTGTTTTCTCGGTGTTCTTGCTACTCCCCCCCCCCCCAAACTCACGAAATTTTGGGAAAACGCAATGGTGTACATACTTGTCTATTGTTGTTATGACCATGGTGAACCGTGTCTAGTGTTTTTACGAAACCAATATGGCAACGCCAACGATGATGCTGATGATGACTATGGCTCTTTGTTGCTAGCAGCTGCTGGTACTGGTACTTATATGCTTTTGAATATTGAGAGGAAAGACAGGCGAGCGACCCGCCCAGCGCAGCGGCAAAGGGAGAGCAGAGCCTGAACCGAGGAAACGCGCGGCATTTCGGCTGCAGAAGAGTTTAGGGTTTAGGGAGTTCGGGGTTTAGGGGTTTAGGGGTTTCGGGTGAAAACACAACTGTGGCAAACTTCCCTAAACGCTGGATTTGGCAGCATTTTTCGGTGGCAAGTATGGGGGGGGGGAGGAGAAACACTTTGTGCCCCTACCTTTACCTAGATTTAAATAGTCATCTGGAGCCACAACGTCTGAACCACACGTTGTACTACAGGTTTGACTTGCTTCAGGCTGTAGGATGTTTCTCTCCTATGCCCGAAACCCCCAGGGGCTCTAGAGTTCAGGGTAGACCCTCAAGACATCTCAAGATTTTAAAGATATCCCCGAAGCCCTAAACCAACCAAACCTTCAAGCCCTAAGCTCAAAACCAAAGCAACCCCAAAAGCCTTGGGTTTCAGGTTTCAGGCTTCAGGCATGGGCCTGGCCAGCGCCACCAGAGACAGGCCAGTCGCCGTGCCTGTTGCAAGGCGGACCTGCTGCAATACCCGACCCCGGCGCTTGTCGGGAAACCCTGAGCCCTAAAGCGCTTTAGGGTTTGGGGTTCAGAGGGGTTTAAGGTTGAGGGATTCAGGGTTGAGGCATTGGGGCATCCTTGTTTTTCGGGGCCTTGCACCCCTTGAACTCTATAGAAGTCGGGAGACTGTAAGGCGAGCACGCTGAACCCCTGCCCGAATAATCCCCGAACAAAGCGTTCTTAGGCCCACACAATGAAAAACCCTACTTCCCAGAGTCCCTAAACTCAGCAGACCCTTCAAACCCCAAACTTCAGCCTGTGCCCCGATCAGCCAAACCCTCGAGCCAAATGAGGCCCTAAACCTCAGCTCCGCGCAAGTCTCGGTCCGAACCAGGGCCCTCCTCTCTGGCAGGGTCTTGAGGGCGGTTTTTTAAAGGGTTTTCAAAGTTTAGGGTTTTGGGTCTGGGGTTTAGGGTTTAGGGCTTAGTGTCCGGGGTGGTTCTAAGCCTTGTACAATCGGGCTCCTGAAAAACAGGACCCCGAGAGGGGCCCTAATCTCCTGAGCCCTAAACCCACAGTCTTTCAGCCGAGGGCTTAGGGGGTGGGGTATCCTACAAGTGAGCTTCCTATTGTCACAGGCACCGACCCCAACGTCGAGAACAGCGATTTGACCCTCAGGGTTTATCAAGAAACGCAATGCGAGACAATCTGCTTCTTCGTAACTGACACTATACATGTTCCCTGCTGTCGTTGACTGACATAGGGCAAGTCAAGAAACGGAATGCGAGACAAACTGGCTTTTTTGTAACTGACACTGTTCATGTTCCTGCTGCCGTTGCCTGACATGTACAGCAAATCAGAAAACGGAATGCAAGTCCGAGACAAGCTGCTTCTTTGTAACTGACACTGTACATGTTCCTGCTGCCGTTGACTGACATGTACCGCAGGTCAGGAAACGGAACGCAAGTCCGAGACAAGCTGCTTTTTGGTAATTGACACTATACATGTTCCTGCTGCCGTTGACTGAAATGTACAAGATCAGGAAACGGAATGAGAGACAAACTGCTTTCTGGAACGAACTGACACTATACATGTTCGTGCTGCCGTTGACCGAAATGCAACGCAGGTCAGGAAAGGAATGCAAGTCCGAGACAAGCTGCTTTTTTGTAATTGACTCTATATATGTTCCTGCTGCCGTTGACTGAAATGCACGGCAAGTACCTGCAAAGCCATCAGAACGACGTTCTATGTAGCTTACTTGGGACGTGGACTAGTTGTCTCACATCTCTCACAGAAGCTACATAGAACGTCGTTCGGATGGCTTTGCGGGTAAAATGAGCCACAACTTGCCGGGTGTTAAAACAACAAAGACATGAGCATGAAGCACAATCGCGGCAGGGGCAAAGACTTGCAAAAGACGCAGTCCCATGAAGGGGCCAGACACCCACAATCTCGCCTGCTTCTTCTCTGGCGTGGTAAGCGCGCGTCCTGTTCGGGACTTTTTCCGGCGGTCCAGGCGATGTGAAGTCAAGGCGAAGTGTCTGGGACGCTGCCGGGAAACGGGCATCCGTTGCAATGCCACCGGCGTCCAACTCAAAAGAGGGGCCACCCACTGCGCACCCGATGCCTAGAGCCCGGAGGCTTCCACCGCATGCTCCTGATCATGTGATGTCGCCCATCAAAGCACGGTGTGGAGAAGTCGTCGTAGGTACAATGGACCTTGGAGCCATCAAGCGGGTTGAAATGGTCCTCTGTCCATTCCCAAACGTTGTGAGAGGCATAGGTTAGGTTGGCATTGGCAGCATTCCGGCCAGAAAGAGCATACTCTTCACCACCTGCGTGCATGGCCCGGTCGTAGGCCCTGGAAGCCATGTTCTCAGTGCGCGCCTCCGGATGCCGAATCAACTGACGCTCGGCCTCCGTGATGAGGCGGTACGCCTCAGGGCTGCCAGCCAAACCATCCTGCTCGGATTTCAAGGCGCAAAAGGCACGCGCCTTCTGGTAGTTGACGTCGACGGGCCAGCTCCAGACCATATCGATCTCCTCGAAGATGGTGCGGAGCTTGAACTGCATAGATCCCTGCGGCCCATCCTGCTTCCAGAAGAAGGGCCCTTCATGTTCCGGTACTTCCGCCAGTTCCATCCGTCCTCCGACCAATACTTCTCAGTTCGGTACCCGCCGCCCGCCACAAAGTGCCAGAATTGGCCGTTTGTGATCAGGTACTTGCTTGCAGCGAAGTCCGCCACCTGCACCCTGCGATGGCCGTACTCATTGTCCCAACCAAAGCTGGGGAAGTCACGCGGCTTGCCTAGATTCACAATCTCACCCTTGACAGTCAGCATCTCGTTCTTTGGAAAGTTCTCTCCCACCTTCGGTTTGGAGCTTCGACCAGATTGCATGCTTGAAGGGTGCAGCGCGGCCAGGCTGCAGGGACCTGCATCAGGTGGCTGTCTCCCGGAAGAGCACCGAAGATCTGGGCCCGGCAAGCCATGCGTCCTCTCCACGCAGGTTGACGATCCACTCTTCCCAGTTGCTACGCGAGGCACCCGTCTTGCTCGGGTCTTCAAAACCGCGCGGCGGCAAGGTCGGGATTGGGATGACCTTGTGCGTAGTGGCCAGGCTGGATTTTGGTTATGCAATCAGCCCACGGAATGCTCGTGCTGCGCTGCGGCGACCCACCCTTTGCAAAGTTTGCTTTTGGAGTCGCAACATGTCTCACAAAATGTCAGAGCGGTTCCCAAGTGTCCTTCCTCTCCACCTACCAAGTTGAGCCTTCTGTTCGGTGTCAGCTATCTGAAGGATTTTTCAGGAGGGTTCTTGTTTCGGGGTTTTCGGAAGCCGGTTCTGGGCCCCATTCTGGGCTTCAAGGGAAAGTTTGGCGTACCAAAAAGGGGACCAGAGTCTAAGTGCGCGCATGTCAGAGAGTGTCCTGGCAGCGGCGGCAGTGGAACGAGGGTGGGCAAGGGAGCGCCGCGGCACGGCAAGGGACCATCCTCACTTCCGACGTCGAGGGTTTGAGGGTTTGGCGTTGAGGCCTTAGGGTTGTAACTGTGCAAAGGATCGGTCACGGCTGGCTGGGCAGCGGACCCCGGAAATGCCACTCAGCTTGATGCCGGAGGCGGTGCGCTGCAGAAGCCGCTCAGCCGAAAACACCTGGTAGGGTTTAGGGCTTAGGGCTCATCATGGGATCCTCTGCTTACCACCCCTGACACACGCCAACTCAAAATAGGCCCATTATGGGCATACTTACGGGTTATCTGCGCCTTATTCAGGGTTGGCGGGCGTGGTTACTGCGGTTTATACGCTCGCTCAAAAGCATGGTGAAAACTCTAATCCAGATGACTATATGGCTTCTGTGCCGGATTTAGGGTTTAGGGTTTAGGGTTAAGGGTTGAGGGTTTAGGGTAGTTTAAAGGCTCCACTGGCCAGTGAAACATCAGGCAACTGAGCTGCTTGCGGGTAAAGAGCCCACCATCATCCAAGCCTCAGCCGCAAACGAAACTGCAGGGTTTAGGGTTGAGGGTTTAGGGTTGAGGGTGCATGGACCCTGAGGTCACTCGGATCCCCTTGCTCACTGGAGCAGTAGGGTTTACAGCCCAACCCTGAACCCTAGCATCGGCTAATTCTGGAGAGCTGAACACCCCAGTGAAAGCGCATGGCTACGCGACACTAGGGAATTGGGGAATGAGAATCCACCAAAAATCAGAATTCTTTTGGGGAGAAGTGGCACGGAAATCCCCCCAGATTGGCAGCTCAGCCCGCCACAAGGGCGGACGCGGTGGCAGTGAGGTGTAGGCTCACGGTGAACTGGGAGTGGTTTAGGGTTCTTAAAGGTTCGACCTGGGACCTGCAAGTTCCTACCCAGAGAGCCTTTATACCCCTCAACTAAGGAACTTTAAATCATATTCAGGATCCCTATTTCATGTAAGGTCTATTTATTCAGGGGTATTGGGCGGCCCCTAAGGCCTTTCAGATTGCAGCACCAGAAGCTGGAACAGGCCCAAAACGCGAAAATCGATGTCACGATGGCCCACAGGACGGCGCATGCGCCTATTCTCGCACAGGCGTCGCTTAGTCGTGCACAGTCATGGATGGCTGTTTTGGAAATGTAGAACAGAGCAGAACGTGGGCTTTGTCATTGACCCAAGGAATCGCATACCCTGGGGGGGGGGTGGGTGCGTGGTTCCTGCAGGGTATTCCTTTCGTAGTGGGTCTTCCCAACCTCCCTTCCCAAACCCCCTATGTAGAATCTCTGTCTAGAATAACATGTGATACGAATTCTGGAAAGCAGAGCGCAGGGATTCCAACGGACTCTGTCACGGAAAGCAGCCCCTGAGCCCTAAGGTCTCTGAGGCTCTGGGGCAGGGGCATGTGCCACCGTCCAAACGAGGCCGGAGTGCATCACGGCGCAGAAAGTCCACACGATCACCGCACGAACCTTGATTCATGGGCTGAATGGCAGGAATGCGCTGTGCCTTGCCACACACACACACACACTCGTGCCACGAGCATGTGGCTTTTGCACCCCCCCCCCCCCCAAAAAAAATGGAAAAAAACAAACAAACTTTTGCATCCCCACAACCTAAACTTTGAACCCGAACCCCCTACACCCTAAAGCCTCAACTCCACTCTCGGCCCTACAGCCTAAACCCTCAACTCTGTACACCCATATAAAACCCTACACCGCTGGTGAGGCAACGACGGCATCGAGGAGGGCCTCGTGCCGCGCTTCGCGAGCTTTGGCCCGGTCTGTACGCACTCAGAGCATCGGGGGATTTGAGGATCGGAGAAAGGGTCTTTTGGGGCTTTTAGGTTTTTAAGGGGGTTTGAGGAGTCTGCACGCGAAAATTAAGGGGATTCGTGTTTTCAGAGTTTTTAGGGTTTTTAGGCGGATTTGAGGATTGGAGAACATTAGGGGGATTGTGGTTTCAGCGCCTAGGGTTTAAGGGTTCATGGCTTTGTGAAAACCACCCTATGTAATCCCTAAGACAGTGTGGGGATGATTGGGCGTAAGCGGCGGGAATTGCATTTTTTGCCGTGCTGTTGCATGCCGGTCGACCCATCAGGGACCATTTCTTTCAACACTGCCTACCCGAAGCCTTGGACCCTTAGCATTACACCCGGAACTCCACCCCCTGAACCGTACACGTGACATCTTAAACCCCATTGTATCTAAACCCATCGTCGTGAAGCCCTTAAAGCCTTCAACCCTACATAAGTTTAAACCCAATATTCAGCACGAATCCCGTTCTCCCAGCCCAAGTCAAGAAAACATTGGCCGAAGAACTAGAATATCCCATAAATGGGGATACCAAAAATGTTGAGGGGGTGAAACGGGCTGGGGTCAGGGCTTTAAGACATTTAAGATCTGGAGTTCAGGGAGTGGCCTGGGTTTCAGACTTCCACCTCAAAAGAAGAAAGAACGGGTCCTCGGCAAGCTTGCTCATCTGGGCCCTCCCCACCAGCGGCGTCGGTCGCACCTTTTCGAAAGGCAAGCTGCCAAAGAGGACTTGTAATTCGGTGGGGGCTCTGAGGCTGTTCTGCATTTCGGGCATAGAATCATAGACAGAGCAGGGCATTTTCAAGTTGCGAACGGGCAGCTGATGATGCACTAACACAGGCCCACTGATTTTGCCGGCACGGCTTGACGATAAGGAGCGACATAGATGACATAGGAACCACATGCAAGGCTTACAACGTGCTTCGCACTGATCCCAACACAAGCAAAACTTTACTCAAAAGCCCTCCTTATTGTAGAAGTGCAGCTTTTCGAATGTCAACATGAGGAATGGCCGCAGGAAACCTCGAGCCTTTTGGAGTTGGGGTTTCGGCAACATTGTACACTTTGCTTTCTTTTTTTTTGGGGGGGGGGGGGGTTAAGGGGCTTCGTCGAACTATCGGGGGCTTTGGTTGCTGAACCCTGGCTCGGTGCCTGACTTCGGGGCGCGGCGTCCTGGGAGCTTTGGGAGGGCTCAGGGGGCTTGGGGCTTTGAGGGTTTGGGGTTCAGGCCTGCTGAACCCGAATATCACCCCTCCCCGCACAGAAAAAAGTGACAACGACAATTCTGAGCCTGCCGATAATCAGGTCTCTGCCTGTTGGTCGGGCACGCCACGGCTGCACGGAGTTGCTTTTGGAATTTGGGGCTTTGGGGCCGCAATTCTCTTGAACAAAAGGTATCCGTCGCTGAATTCGGCGACACCGCACTCATGGCCGGATACAAGCGCTCAAGCCTCTTGAGTCCCTCGGCCCTGACCCCTGACCCCTGACCCCTAGACCCTAAACCCTAAACCCGAAACCCGAAACCCGAAACCCTGCCCCAAACCATTAAAGAGCTCGGGCTGCCACTTTGGCTGCCCTCCGGTCCCTGGTCAGGCGGCGTGGGGGTCGCAGGGCTTTAGGGTTTAGGGTTCTAGAGCTGAGGGCTTAGGGTTTAGGGCTTAGGGTTTAAGGGCTTAGGGTTTAAGGGCTTAGGGTTAAGGGTTAAGGGTTTAGGGTTTAGGGTTTAGGGTTCTAGAGCTTGAGGGCTTCAGTGTTTGTAGAACTTGGCTTAGGGCTTATAATATGTTTGGGGATGTTAAACGTTAAAAACCCCAACCAGGACCCCCCCCCCCCCCCGTGTTAGACTTTCGGGTGTGGATCCTCACCCAAACCCGAGGATCTGGGTTCACCGAGGGCCTGACTCATGTGCCCTGGCAGATCGGGCCACCTGAACAGGGCTTGCCTTAGGGTTTGGGGTTTGGGGTTGGGGTTTGGGGTTTGGGGTTTGGGGTTTGGGGTTTGGGGTTTGGGGTTTGGGGTTTGGGGTTTAGGGTTTAGGGTTTAGGGTTTAGGGTTTAGGGTTTGGGGTGGTTTAGGGTTTAGGGTTACAGTTACGGGTCTCTGGGGGTTCGGGTTCAGAATGTAGGGTTTGGGGCCCCTACGAACGCCATGGCAATGTGACTGGCCCTGCAAGTGTGGAGGAGCGTGGCACGAGCAAAAAGCTCCGCGGCACGATTCACGAACCAAACTCATGCTGGCCACGGAAGATCTGGAGCCAGCTGGGTTTTTGGGAGGTTAGGGCTGAAAGGATGCGGGCACAAGAACTGACGCAAGCGGGGTAGACGCAGGCAGGCTTTGGCGACCGGGACTGCGCTCGCCCTGGTGCCTCCCGCTCAATGGCCGAGACGCGGCGCATCCAGCCTGCTGAAGCCATCATGAAGCCCCCTGAACCCCCTGAACCCCACGCCCTGAACCCTGAACCCCAAACCCATACCCCAATTGGAGCTTTGGGCCCCAAGCTGAGGGAAGGGCGGAGTTTTGGGCCTGAGGTCCTCAGGTTTGCGGTTTGGGCCTTAGGGGGGGAGTTTAGGAGGCTTTCGGGTTTAGGTGCTTTGGGCCCAAAGTTCCACTTCAGACCTGTACAAAAAGAACCCCAGATCCACCCGAACCCTAGCACTTCCTAACAAAGGAGGCCGGAACGTAAGCGCGCCCAACGAGTGCAACTACAGCTTCCCACTGTTTCGAACAAGCGCTTGAAGCTCCTACATTCGGAGACTCAATCTTGCACACCTGACTTCCAATCTAGCAACTTCGACCCGTGACCGAGACCCCGAAACGAACCCTACACCCCAAGCTGCAAACCATAATCCAGGTGTTCCCTGGTTCACCTTCAGTTTGCAGGGCCCGAAACCCTCCACTTGCCCATGCCAGTTGCCACGTCGCAATGCGTGAAACCGCCCAACGAACAACTCAGGGTAGGCCGGTTCAGCACAAGCCCTCAAGACAAATCCGCTAGAAAATGGATGGAGGGCGCTGTTTCTCAATGTGGCAGGTACTGCTGGGACGCAAGAAAAGAAAACCAACTGACTTCCTCCAAGACCCCGAACCTGAATCCTGCACTCTTCGCCTTAGCTCTCGTCGGCCGCAAACATCACCCATGGCATTCCCGGGCAAAGCGGCTCAAAAGGGCGCTTCGTGAGATCAAGGCATGCTTAGGGCCGGGGATGATAGGGCTGAGCTGGTCAGGGAGGTTCGGAGCTTAGGATTTTTGGGGTTCAGGGTTTAGGGTTTGGGGCTCAGGAGCTTGTGGCTTAAGGTTTAGGGAATGTCTGCGGCGCTGCGCTGTATGACAGGCTTGGGTCAGAGGTGTTGAAGCTGGTCAAAGACCAGTCATGCATCGTTGCACTTCGTCTTAAAGGGGAATGGCTCGACTACTTGCGATGCGCATCTGTATTGATTGTCTCGACCCAATGGACAAGGTTGATGGCACCAAAATAAAAGCAAAGCATACACTACACGTCATTGCGAAACTCGTCAGCAACCCACTTCCCCAAGGTGCGCGCGCATTTTCACAGGTGGGTATTTTGCGATCTGGGGTCGCTGAAACCGGAAGCGATGCAATCAAATCCGATCTTTCTCGGCCCGCGATGGGTGCTTGACAGGAAAGAGTTGGTTTATAGTCAGTGGTGCTGGTGTCACATGGAGTGGTTCCCCATTGTCATATGATATTCAGGGTACTTACCCCAAGAGGGCCCACTTTTTGGAGAACGGACCACAATATCTCGGAGAGCTTTGGGTTTTACGGACCTTGGAGCTTGCCGAGCGCTCAGCCCGTGTCTGAGGACCCCTCGTCGCACCTCGGCTTGCAGAAAACCCGACTACCCTGAACCTGAAAGCTAACCCCCTAAGACCCCAAACCCTAAACTGCTCATCTTTTTCGGAGAGGCCCCAGGGCTTCAGGCATTTTGGGCGGTTTAGGTTGTTGGGCTTTGGGCAGGCTTGGGGGGCCTAGATTCGGGGATTTGAACTTTCGATGATTTTCAGTTCCTGCAAGTAACTGAATCCAGGCCGTAGTTTAGCGTTCAGATCCCCATCAACCCGACGAGATAAAGCCCTCAATCCGAAGCCCAAAACCCTAAGCCCGCAAACCCTAAAGGCCCGAATCTCACCGAGACCGTCGCACCCCCCAAGCCCATGATCTTTCCCCAAGACTTTAAAGCCCTGAGACTCGAAAGGAGGCCGCTTGGGGGCGTTTACAAAGTGGACATACAATCCGCGAACCCTGCCAAGGCCCAGAGCAATTTGAGCCTGGGCCTCAGGCTCGAAGAACTCGTCCTCGCAGGGCTCTCCGCCGGCGATCTCGAAGCTCTGCAGGCTCAGCTCATCAAGCTGCCGCGACTGCGACCTGCGGACTTTTCCTCAAGCCCTGCGCCCCTCATCCCCTCAACCCTTCAGGCGCGCCATGGCGCGCCCCCCCTCCCCTCCCATTCCCTTCACCAGGGTTAGCTATCCCAGAAAGGAGGGAATACGGCCACAAGGGTACTGCCTGGAGTCTCAAGCTTTGGAGCCAAAGAGAACGAGAGAAACGGGGGTTTCCGAAAATAGTAGGATTCCCTCATAGTAAGGACCAGAGAGAAAAAGAGAGAGAGAGAGAGAGAATGCTCAGGGTTGGGGCTTAGAGCCTAGGGCGTCGGTTTAAAAGGTTTACTCCCAGCAGGTCAGGAGCGTTTAAGCTGTAACCACAAGCCCTTAATTAAACAAACCAATCCCGAACATCCTGGGGTGTTTTGGATTTATGGTTGAGGGTTTAATTAGGGCTCAAGGGGTTTCAGATTGTGTGGGGTTTCGGCCTCCTCTTCGCCGACACCGGAGACTCCGCGCCCTGCACCTAGGCCGTTGCGGCTCGGACCTAGAAAACTCTGTGATTTTTCCAAGTTTGGGGGATCTGCAAGTTTAGGCTTAGGACATTACGCATGCGCCCCAAGCCCCCGCAAAAAAAGAAACAGCCTTTACATCCCAAAAAATAACCCCCCAAAAAAACCTAAAACCAAAAAGCTGTACACAAAAATATCCTAGAACCCTATGTATTCTAAAACCCTTAGACAAAACATACCTCTATAGAAACCCAAAAAACCCTTGAACCCCAAAAAGTCCTTTAGACCCTGGTGCCCAGGCCCCTAAACCCTAAACCCTAAACCCTAAACCCTAAGCCCGAAGCCCTAAGCCCTAAGCCCTAAACCCAGGCATTGCGTCCCAAGAAGAGCCAAGGCTCCTCCGCGAGGTGCTTTCGGGCTTCGTGCAGGCGCCGCTCCACCTCGAAGTGCGCACTTGGGAAGGCTTTCAGGGCTTTCAGGGCTCTGCTCTGAGGGTTCTGAGGGCTGTGAGGGCTCTGTGGGTTTTGAGGGTTTTCAGGTATTTTGGTCATGTTTGTGGGTTTTGAAAGCTTTGAGCGTTATGAGGGTTTAGGGTTCAGGGCACTTGGCCTTAAACCAGTTGGAGCTCATGTCGACGCCTTGTCACGCCGGGCGTGAAGTGAATACCATGACTGTGATGGGCGCAGCTAGGTTGACAGGCGAAAGTGAATGAGACATCAAGCACAAGCTTTGTGTCTGGGAAGGTGCTGTGCCTTGTAGCGTTCTCTGATCTGGGGCTCCTTGTTCAGATTTCGCACGCCCCCTTTACAAACTAACAACCGACCAAGCCCATGTGAACGCTCACATTTGCATCCTCAGCCCGAGGCAGAATGGAGCTGCGTCAGCTGCTGGTCCACCTTCAGCCTCCATGGGATGTTGTGTCGGGGCTTTAGAGTGTTGAGGGTTCAGGGTTTAGGGTTGTGGGGTTTGAGGTATAGGTGGCTTTAGTGCTTTCTTCAGTTTGTGGGTTTGGCTTAGGTCTCTCGGAGTCGTGGGCTGGCGCAAGGTTTCTTGTGAAAGGGGCCTTAGGCCCTGAACCTGAGAAACCCAACATCCCCAAAAGCAGGGACCTTTGCACCACCCTAAACCCGAAACCCCTGAAGTCCAGCAAGGATCCGAGGCAAACCGAGCCGCAACTTCACATCTAAAAGCCCCAACAACCCGAAGCGCAACCCTAAAGCTCAGAAAACTCCAGCCCTAAACCCCCTTTTCCCTGAGTCCTAAACCCTAAGCCCGCCCGAGCCCCCCATGCAAGAACCCGAACCCCTAAAGCCCTAAGCCTAAGCCCCGGAAGCCCCGGGCCCCTGAACCCTAACAGCCCTGTTTTACCCAAAACAAAAAACTCGAAACCGCCCCCCTGCCGGCCCTAAGCCGACCCAAAAGCCTCAAGCAAACCCCTGAAGCTAAGATCCCCAAACCCGAAACCCTCAACCCTGAGCTCTGAACCCTAAACCCTAAGCCCCAAACACTAAACCCTAGAGCCTAGACCCTAAACCCTCAACCTAAACCAAGATCCCTTGGATCCCGAAACCAAACTCGGCGTTCTCCCAGGCGCGGGGCTCGTGAAGCCGCCGCTTCTCGTAGAAGGGAGCCGCCCGCTTCACGGAGCAGTTCCAGGTGCCTTGGGTTTAGGGTTAAGGGTCAAAGGGTTGGGGTTTAAGGTTTAGGGTTTAGGGTTTGGGGTTTGGGGTTTGGGGTTTGGGGTTTGGGGTTTGGGGTTTGGGGCTTGGGGCTTGGGGCTTGGGGCTTGGGGCTTGGGGCTTGGGGCTTGGGGCTTGGGGTTTGGGGTTTGGGGTTTGGGGTTTGGGGTTTGGGGTTTGGGGTTCGGTCGGCCTTGCGTTGGGGTTTGGGGTTGGCGGTTCGGGGGGCTTGGGGGGAGTTTAAAGGAAGCTGAGGAAGTTTAGGGGAACTCAGGGAGCTTGGGGAGTTTGTTTGTTGTTGAGGGGGTTTGGGGTTATACGGGACTTAGGCAACTTTTTTCACGGCTTTTGGGGGGGGGGGGTTCAGGGCTTGGGCTGCTTGAGGCCTTCGGGAGCTGGCAGTTGTCAATTCCAGGACTTGAAGAGAGTCGTAGGGGGATCTCAAGAAGGGGTTATTCAAGCAGCCACCACAAACCCATCCTGCATCCAGTGCTACATACTCCGAACGGACAGATTTGGGAGGAAGCCTAAAGGGCCCAATGCCCAAGCTCCGAGCATGCGCTGTGCGCCTGATCTTCGTACTCGAAGCGCCTCTGCGCCAAGAAGGGCCGAGCATCTCGAAAGAGTGAGAGCATAGTGCCAAGTGACTTAGGGCTTTCGGGGGCTCGAGTTTTGGGTCGTCATGCAATTTGGGCAGGTTCTCCCGTCTTGTCTGAAGACAAATGGGGGAAATTCTCCTTGTGTACAGACCAAACTTGCAAGACCCTGCCAACACCCTGGCTGGAAAGCCCAAGAAGCCCCAACCGCAGGGAAAACTCGCTGACGACGCCGCGCTCCACCTCATTCAGCCCCAGCAAGCTCCCCCGCATCCCCAAACCGCACACCGAACCCAACCTGAACAACCACTAGAGCGTACTCGTGCCCCCACAAAAGGCCCCGACACCCTAAACCCCAAATACACCCAAAAGCTCGCAAAGGCTCCCAGGAAGCCCACGGCCTCCTGGCTTCCTCCAGCTCCTCGCGCTTCATACCCAGCTCCGCAGCTTCACGGTCGCGCCGGGTCCTGGGCTTGGGGTTCTTGGGTTGAGGCTTCCGGCTTAGGGTTCAGTTCCAAACGAAAGCGCGTCAATTCTCAGACATACCCACAGGCTGCCCACTTGCAACCCTCAGGGCTTTGAGGCGCTCTCTCTCTCTCTCTCTCCCTCTTCCCCCCTCTCTGTCCCTCTCCCTTCCTCCCTTCCTCCGTGCATCTGACAACGACAATCCTGGCCAAGCTAGGGTACCATTCATTTCTGGCGAGAACGGGTGTGTCACGGCGTGTCTGCAAGTTACATGAAAGCGAGGTAACGTGAAGTTCATCATGTTGATAATGCTATCAGAAAGTAGTGCCCCCTGATACACTTGCGAGCCTTCACCTATCAAACGGGTGTTGAAAACACCTAAGGAATTAATTCTGGGTCTGAAATTCTTGTGAAGCCACACGCCCATAAAACGCTGAAACTAAACCCGAAGCCCTAACGCCCAAGCCCCAAGCCCAACTCGAGGGGGAGTCTGAGGATGCAGCTGGAGGTTGGCGACGGTGTCCCCCAGGCGCGAGACCTCGCACTCTTCAGGATGGATGCTCTAAGGCTTCAGGGTTGTAAGGGCTCAGGGGCCTCGAAGCCCTAAACCCTAAACACGAAACCCTGAATCCGCAGTTGCGTTACAAAGTTTCGGGGCTTCGGAGAAGGAGCCGTCTGTGGACCTCTAACCTCTTGCCCATACCCTTCAAAGAGGGAAAGCCCGCATGTTCCGCCCTCACTTTTAGGGCTATAAGCCCTATAACCCACAAGTACCAAAGGCGCCCGTATTCTCGACCGATGACCATGAGCGACTAGGGTCCAGGGCTTGGGAAGTCCGACATGCGGGTTGGGGCTTTTGACTTAAGCCCTCAAGGTTTAGGGTTTAGGGTAAACCTGCAAGCAACTGAGGCGCCGGCGCGGATCATCCGCAGCAGCTTGGGATCATTGTCGAGCTCTGCATCGTTTTCCTCGCCGACCTGCCGACGCCAAGGGCTTAGGATTTTTAGGGTCGCGGGGCTTAGGGTTTCGGGTTCTGGGGTCCTTTTAAGGTAGGGTCCCTTCTTGCCAGGCCCCTTTTGTTGCAAGCGGGTCCAGCAAGATGAAGGTTTCAAAAGGGGAAGCACAGTTTCGACATCCCTCGGCCACAAAGCTTTGGCACACTAAGTCACTAAGGCCTTGAGCCCTAAAGCGTCCAATCTTCTCCTCTTGAGAACTCTCTGAAGTACGTCTTCCCCCATACCCTAAACCCTCAACCCTAGTGTATTGGGCCCTTGTATTCCCTCGCTCTCGGCCTTGGCGGGCGCGAGCTCTTCCCATTGCTGGTCCGACAAAGCGTCGCTGCCCCGGAGGAAGGCTTCAAACGCCGCCTTGTGGGGCTCAGTGCAACCAGCAACTGGTTTGGGTTCAGGGTTTGGGGTACCAGGGTTTGGGGTATTCGGGTTTGGGGCTTTTTGGTTTGGTATTCTGCAAGCCCATTCTTCCTGGGTCCAGGTCTAGGCCCCGCTTTTTCCACCTTTCCCACCATTACCCAGTACTCCAATCCACTACCCATTGCTCAGTCGGGGTTCCTGGGTTTAGGGGTTCAGGGTTTGGGGGTTCGGGGCAATCCCAGCAACTCGGAAACTCCTCATGCTGGCGAAACCCTGAGGCCTAAACTTTAGAAACTTTAGGGTTTAGGGTTTAGGGTACCTCCTGTGACCCTAAACTCCTAAGCTCGCGCAGCATCCTGCCTCTGCTTTCGCCAGGTTCTTCACTGCGGCCTCCAGCCAGGAAACTCCAGCCAGGAAACTCCGTGCCCCGCCCGAAACGAGCTGCCCTAAACCCTCAAAGTGCTTCAGAGATTGCTTGCTTAGTTTCAGCTCTGTGCGTGTTTTTGTTCCGGAGCAGGGGGCTCCAGGGGGGTGCAGTCTGGGAGTGTTCGGGTTTAGGTCTCCCCCCCTCCTAACCTCACAGTCGGACGATCACCTGAGCCAACCTAAACCCGAAACCTTCAAAAACCTAAAGGTCTTAAAGCCCTCAACCCTCAGCCCCTCCGACACCCGAATCTCCCAGAGCCCGAGGCATCAGTAGCTCTGACTGTATTTGGCTACAGCTCCAAGGCTCATGCCAAAACAGGTTTAGGGCAACAACAAATTTTCCGCGAAGCGCAGGTGTGTCACCTTGCAGCCCTCTAGGCGTTCATCAAGCTCCGTGGAACTCCTCACCCTGAACCCTACAAACACTAACCAACAACCCATGCCTCCAGGTCCGCGTTCACCCGATCCAGCTCCCCCTGCTGCGAGGCAAAGTCCTGCCCGATATGGGGCAGAGGGAATGACGCCTGTCAGCATTTCGAATTTAAGGCTCTAGGGTGGGGCGAGTCGGCTGTATGCGGGCGGGCGGCTGATGAATTAGGGCGCCGAGTCTGCACGCATTCGCAGCAGTTCTTGCAAGGTGCTTTGCGAGCAAGTCTTCTTGTGGAAGCATGAATGCTGCCATGTGCATCGTGATCTGAATCTGACATACAAAGCAGCGAAGCAGCGTTGAGATTTTCTGGATGCATCTGCCAGATTGTGCTCACACCGCGTCAGCCAGACACACAAAATGCTGTAAATGCCAAGAAACTTTTGCATGTTGGAGTTTCGACTGCATGAAATTCTGCTCCCTCGCCCCCCCGCCCCCTCCCCTCGTGCGGCTACAAAAAACAACCATAAACCAAATACAAAAGCCAAAAACACCCTCAGACCCTCGGGTGGGATCTTGCAGGCAACGCGGTCCTGAATCGCCTGCTGCCAGATGGCCCGGGTGTCGTAGTAGCCTTGCGCCCGCTCAAGCACGGGCCGGCCAATCTCCTGCCAGTGCTCGAGTGTAACAGTGTAGGGCGGATGGAGGATTCGGGCACTGGGTTTTAATTGGGGGAGGGTTTAAGGCGCCTGCACGGCGACACTTGAAAACTCGAGCAACAGTTGGTTGATGGGGCTTTAACATCCTTGCCAGTCCCTCACCACGCTTACAGCAAAAGGCCGCACCGATGGTGATAACCACAAGCATCGCTCTGATTGTTAACAGCTACTGCACCTTTGAGGGGGGCCTGTCTATAGGGAACCTGGCTCTGAAAGAGTGCCTACAATTGAGGAGGCCCTCGTTTGGAACCTTCCGCCCATGTGCCAGCGAGGGCGGCGCCTGCACCAGAGAGTTGAACTCGGCCACCCAATTTGTCAAGGTCTTCATGTGCACCTCGTGGCTTGAGATCGGAGACTCGGCATCGGGGGTTTAGGGTTTAGGGTTTAGGGGTTTAGGGGTTTAGGGGTTTAGGGGTTTAGGGGTTTAGGGGTTTAGGGGTTTAGGGGTTTAGGGGTTTAGGGGTTTTTAGGGTTTAGGGTTTAGGGTTTAGGGTTTAGGGTTTAGGGTTTGGGGTTTAGCGTTTAGCGTTTAGCGTTTAGGGTTTAGGGTTTAGGGTTTAGGGTTTAGGGTTTAGGGTTTAGGGTTTAAGGTTTACCGTTTCGGAAGCCCACACCCTGGGCACCTTAAAAAACTCTCTAATAGTTCAAGGCTTCGCTCATGCTGCTGCGGTCCCCGGAACTCGCGCAACGTGAGGAAACCGACCGCTGGCCAAAGGGCTGCCCTAGACATTCAGAGCTTCCAGACTAGTACGAGGCTTAGGGAGAGCAGGGCCGTACTCTTCTTCTCATGATTACGTTTTACTATCATTACTCGTATTACTAGTATACTACTCTGACTATGATGACTATGATTACTGGTAGTAGCAGTCTACAACTACTACTACACCACTACTACACTACTACTACTACTACTACTTCTTCTACTACTTCTCCTCCTACTACTACTACTACTACTACTACTACTACTACTACTACTACTACTACTACTACTACTACTACTACTATTTTTTTCATTCTAATCGCAGCCGGTCACTCAGCTTGGCGTCAGGTACATGGCAGTGCTTTGCACCGGTGCTTCATGAGCACTAGAACCATAATGGGCAAGTCCCGCTACGAATAGCTGCAAACTTGCGTCCTACTCAACCAGTCAAGAGACTGGTGCACAGTGGCACAGACAAAAACTGCTTCAGCATGAATTGCCGGGGCAGTGGGCAAACAGTATCGGATGCAGCGTCTCGGCCAGTAGTTGAAGCATCGTCACGTAGTATGTACAGGACGTGGAGGTGCTATACACTAGACGGCATGGTCTATGGACAAGTGGCCCAGTCAGGGCACACTGACGGTCTAGAGTGGCCAAAGATGGCACACTGGCCTTTCACTCACTATCAAGGTTTGTTGCAGGTGGTACATGTGGTGCAGGTGATGTAGGTGATGCAGGTAGTGCAAACTCCAGTCTCCGAAGCGTATCGACATGTGCAGGGATGAGCTCATCCACGGCCCTGACCGTGAAGATTGCAATCGTGATGCGATCTCCCGTCCAGGGGCGTGTTACGTGCCATTGTTGAGGGTCAAAAGTGACTCCCGGCAGTGTGAGATTCAACACAGTGCCCCGCATGGTACCATCCATACACGTATAGTTGCCTTTTGGATCATGTACCCATACCCCTCCGCCTGTAAAGGCCGAGCAGGGTAGCACAGCATTGACACTTTGTGCGGCGTTGTTCATGTCTCTATGTGACTACTACCACTACTACTACTACTACTACTACTACTACTACTACTACTACTACTACTACTACTACTACTACTACTACTACTACTACTACTACTACTACTACTACTACTACTTCTACTACCACTACCACTACCACTACCACTACTACGACTACTATCATTAATATTCTTGCTAGTAGGACTTCGGGCTTTTGGGGGCTTCGTCTGTTTCGCTCTGCGGCCTCGTCCAGGTCGTTATACTCATCCATGATCACAGCAACTTTTCGCTCAGCCTCGGGCAGAAGCTCGGGGCTTGGGCTTAAGGTCCCTGAAATCCTCTCGGCATGTGGGGTACCCTTTTTGGGGGTCCCTTTTGAGGGGATTCTATTATATTTGGGGTACAAAGGAGTTGTGGGAGGGATCCGATCCTCCTTGCGTAGGAGGTGGAGATTTCCACTGGCACTTTTCATGTTACCGCCCAAGAAAACGTGCCAGGGCTGAGCGCATCTAAACTCCTGAATCCCTACTGCAAGCGTCTCGACCCGTAATTCCGCGCAGCCTCGACGAATTCCGCCTCGGCGAGCTCGGGCAGGACCACGGCAGACCTCACCAGCGGACTCAGGCTCAGCAGGATCTAGGCCTCCGGGTTCCCCAAAGGAACAAACAACAAGGGGGTTTCTGAGGGGTTTTTTTGGGGGTCAGGGCTCTTGGGTTCAGGGCTGATGTCTTCGGAGGATTTCGGAGGCCTGAGGCCCGATTACGAGGCTCCCGGGTGCCTATGCTGAAGGGATTCCAGGAAGGAGCCCTTACTTGGAGGTTCGTGGGTAGTTAAAAGTAGGGGCTATGAGTACCCTAAATAAGGTTAGAAGATGTTATAAGTACAGTTACCATACTTATAACCCTACCTGTGAACCTCCAAGTAGGGACCCTTCGTCCTACTTCCGAGTTTGCCCCCAAACTGGCCCTGAGAAGATCCCCTTCAGTCTCTTGGGGGCTATGTCCTGGCCTGGTTCTGAACTCTGAAATGAGATCGGCAGGTACTTCCTGCTCTTCAGCCTGCCATCGCTGATTCTTAGGGTTTAGGGTTTAGGCTTTAGGGTTTGGGGTTTGGGGTTTGGGGTTTGGGGTTTAGGGTTTAGGGTTTAGGGTTTAGTTTAGGGTTTAAGGGGTTTAGGGTTTAAGGGGTTTAGGGTTTAAGGGGTTTAGGGTTTCGGGTTTAGGGTTTAGGGTTTAGGGTTTAGGGTTTAGGGTTTAGGGTTTAGGGTTTAGGGTTTAGGGTTCTGGAGCTCATGAGCTGGAGAGGGGTCTGTCGGGTGCACTTCAACTTCTGCAGCGATGCGGCCCACGTGCCTCCGCTTCCTCCGCATGACCTGCGCGAACGCTTGAAGCTCCCCGACCCCCAAACCTATCGGCCTATCGAAGGTCAGGGAGGGGCCTTCGACAGATGTGGGCCCCCCTTGTGGCAGGGAGGTAAAAGCATTCGGAAAGCGCCCAGTTCTGGAGCTTTGGCTGCAAAGGGCATAAGCTTTCTCTTTTCCCTCCAAGCCCCAAGCCCTAGACATGCTAAAACCTGCTGGCCGCTCTATGCTCACCCCTTCGAACCCTGTAAACCCCCAAAGCCCCTAAGCCCCCAAAACCCGGAACTCTGAAGTACAGTCCCTGGTCCCTCCTGTCCAAGACACCATGAACTGCTGCAGTACGACCTCAAAACCTCTAGCCCAGTCATCTTGGAGAAGATAGACAGCTGAGGAGGACACATCCTTCTCTACATAAAGCCACAGAGTTTAGGTTTTAGGGCTCCTCCACTTATTTACCTACGTCAGCGTCCCTAAAGAACCCTAAAGCCCTTCAACAACCCCCCTGAAGCCCCCAGAAAACTTCGAAGCCCCCCCGGGCACCACCAGGCGCCGTGGCCTGACGCCGCAGAGGGCTCCGAGGCGACCGTGGCAACCGCCTGCTGCACAAAATCAGGGTTCACGGGGTTCTGGGTTCAAGGGTTCTCCAGGGTTTGCCCAGGGTGTTTTTAGGGTTTGCCCAGGGGTTAAGGCATTATAGGGGTTTGGGGATTCTCTTGGCATGGATGTTGGGGAGACAGCTCTTCCCTGAACGGCCGAGCATTCTCAAAGTTCCGGATACGCAGGCGCCCGTAAGCCCTCGCACTGGCAGATCAGCAACCCAGACCCCTGGGAGGATCCAAAAAAGTAGATCCCTTTCAGGGTTCCGAAGAATGACCCAATAGTAGTATTGGGTACTACTTGGTCCTTCTACTTCTTGGATCCTCCCAGGGGTCTGGGAAGGCGCGCGGCTTCTTCTTCTCAGCTAAGTCCCCAAGCCTCGAGCAAGTCTGGGCTCAAGTCGCTCCAGAGTTCCTGGAAAGCTGTACAGATCCAGGCACCGGGAGTCCTGTACAAATGCCATGTGGGGAGCGACTGGATCCACTCCTTAGTGGTTCCAGGCGGATCTAGAATCGATTCATCTTTGCAGTCGGTCTACTGCGATCTGTGGCAATCCGTTAAAAAAGTTAGCAGGCCCCTTGCCCAAGTATCGCTTGGCCAAGCCAACCAGACTGAAGTTCGTGAACTCTACTTCATCGCTCTTTCGAGCCTTCGAGAATGGTCCACAGACAAGTGTCGAAAGCTCTCACTGACCTTACCAAACCTTGGGCCCCTAGGCGGGCATGGCCCAGGGGGCCCGGAAGTGGCCCCCGCAGTATGGCAGGGACGACTCCTCCTCGATGCGCAGCAGCTGGTTGTACTTCGCAAGGCGCTCGCTCCTGCAGGGCGCGCCGGTCTTCAGGTGGCCAGTGCCGAGTCCCACGGTGAGGTCAGCAATGAAGGTGTCCTCGGTCTCGCCCGAGCGGTGCGACACAAAGACTCCCCACTGGTTCTCCCGGCAGAGCTTCCATGCGGCGATCGACTCCCAGACACTGCCAATCTGGTTGACCTTGAGGAGCATGGCATTGGTGGCCTTCTTGTCCAGGCCCATCTGCACACGCTTGACATTGGTGCAGTAGATGTCGTCTCCAACAATCTCCACCTTGTCGCCCACGAGCGCCGTGAGCTGCGCGTGGCCTTCGAAGTCCTCCTCGGCAAAGGGGTCCTCCAGCAGCGCGATGGGGTAGGTGTCGCAGAAGCGCTTGTAGGTGGCCACCATCTCCTCCCTGGTCTTCATGCTCTCCGGCTTCGGGCTGGTGCTCTTGAAGTCCATGTCGTACTTCTGCTCGGCACCCTTCCAGAACTCCGAGGAGGCCGGGTCCGAGCCTATCAGGATCCTGCCTTCATGGCCCGCCTGGCGGATCGCTTCCAAGAGGAGCTTGAGGCCCTCTTCCGGGTCGGCCACGGCCGGGGCGAAGCCCCCCTCGTCGCCCACCGCGGTGGAGTCCAGCCCATACTTCTTCTTGATGATTCCTTTCCTCGGTAGCCCAGAAACCATGCTATCATAAGGGCACTTTTTCTTTGTTGGTTACTTTGTAAGAAAAGCATTCCTGAATAGGATCCTCTTAAACTAACTAAGGGAAAAGATAAAGCGTACCAACGGCCTACCTAGTTTCAGGTTGTGGTAGGTCTCTGAGCCCAGCTTCATGGCCTCGGCAAAAGTCTCGGCGCCCACCGGGATGAGGAAGAACTCCTGGAAGGCCAGGAAGTTGCCGGCATGAACACCCCCGTTGATCACGTTGAAGCACGGCACGGGCATGCACATCAGAGGCTTCCCGGCGATCTCGTTGATGTGCTTGTAGAGCGGCAGGCCCTTCTGTGCAGCACCGGCCCGGCAGCAGGCCATCGAGACACCCAGGATGGCGTTCGCTCCGAGGTTGGTCTTGTTCTCTGTGCCGTCCAGGTCGATCATGATCTTGTCGATGCCCTGCTGATCCGTTGGGTCCTTTCCAAGAAGCGCGGGTGCGATCTTCGACTTCACGTTGTCCACCGCCTTGGAGACGCCTTTGCCCATGTAGTCCTTGCCCCCGTCGCGAAGCTCACAGGCCTCATTCTCGCCGGTGGAGGCTCCGCTGGGCACAGCCGCGCGAAAGGTGCCGGCCTCGGTGGTCACCTCCACCTCTATGGTTGGGTTGCCACGGGAATCGAAGATCTGGCGCGCATGCACCTTCTGAATCGGCATGGTCACAGCTGCTCACTGTACAAGGCAAAAGAACGTCAGAGGTGTAAGCCCGAATGCTTGAGCCACCAGCGAGTTTTTCAGGAACGTTTCAAGCCAGCGGTGATTCTTTTGGAGCTTAAAGGTGATGCTTCTAGCGCTCTACAGGAAGGTTGCTGCCGGGTGCTGAACCAAGCTGGCCGTGCAACAGCTTGCCAGGTCACACCACTCACACCGCCACATCTTGGGTTTAGGGTTTCGGATCCCAATGCAGACCATTGCGGAAAAAATGGTGCATCCCAAAACGACTGCCTCAAACTCCTAGGCCAAGATGCCCATCAAATGGGGGGGTTGACTGGGTCGGAGAATTCTTCGCAGCTTGTATGAAAGCAATAGGGGAGCGTGAATGCTTTGATGCCTCATCGATCAGGGCCCCAGCATTTCACCGACTGACATACCAGGGTCACATATGCACCATCTCTCCACGAGGAGTGCTGTTTCAATCCAAGGTACCCAACCCCTACAGCCGCGAAGACAAAACCATGCCCCGCGCCTCACGCGACTTCTTGAGCAGCGTGGCGCCTTCGGGAGTGAGGACCTGCTGTCAAGTTCAGGGCTCAGGGCTGAGATCTTCAAGGAAACCCCCGCCCACCGTGCACCCAAAAACTCATGCTGAAACAAGGCAGGATCCTCAAGTCCGAAGACAAGAACCCCACAAGCACTATACGCCCGTCGAGCTTGAGTTCAATTTTGGGATCCTGTGTCCCGCCCCCCCCCCCACCCCTCATACTCATTGCCCCCGAACGTAGGGGCTAGTTCGGGTCGGGGTCCCACAGTCACAGTCAAAGATGTCTCTCGGCCTCATCCAGCGGATGCTCCTCCAAGATTTTGAGCACCTCGCGTGTGCGCCCAGCAACAGCGGCTCACTTGAAGTGATCCTCACACACCTTGCTCCCCCTGGCCTGGTCCTTCAAAACCCTGAAGCCTGTGAGTCTTTGGGGCGCATAAGATGACATAGTATTGAATTTTCGGGTCTGGGAGTTGCCCTTAGACCTGTACATCTATGCAGAGACACAGGAGCCCCAGGCCCCATTCCTACAGACTCCATGCTGGGGTTTGGGCTTCAGGTTTTACTTTCTTTGGGGGGTTTAGGGCCGGGTGTTTGGGTTAAGTGTTTTAGGGTTTTGGTGCTACAGGACGGGATGATGCACAGCCAACGTCCAACCCACGAAAGGTTGGCGGACCTCGGGGTCCGCCCACGGCCCCTTCACGGCGCGCATGCAGGACAGCTTGTCCTGAGCAGCAGCGACGCTCTCAGCCTTCAAAGGGTGGGGAACTCAAAGCCCGACACTTGCCCCCCCCCACCCCCACACCTGCGAAGGGTTTAGGGTTTGAGGAAGCTGGCAAGGTCCTCAACCTCCCCAGGCAGCAGCAAGCCCGGGCTCTCCCCCCTCAGGCCCCAACCCGACCATCACACATGCACCTTCCGCCGTACATCGCAGGCCTTGCAAGAAAACTCGTCGTTAAAAGGCTGGGCTTGGGTAAGCTTCGGTTCCCTGGCCGACCCAAGGCTGGTGAGGGTCTTGCTTCTGGGTTCGGGCTTTTGAATGCTTTGTTTGGGCTTGGAACCCACATGACCGCAAGACTCTGCTGAGAGAGTCCAATGTCCTGCATATGGAAGGCCCTTCTAATCCGGGGCTTTTCGTTTCGGGTTGAGTCTCCTAACTCACCCCTGAGGGGATTCTAAACTAAGGCGCCTCCTGGCGCCCTCTGACTTCGAGGCACATTACACTTCTTAAAGAATTCCAATCTCAACAGCCCCCCACAGGACCTACTTGGGACAACCCACAGATAGAGCCTCTTCAGGCTTACTTGGAGGTTCATGGGTACTTACAAGTAGGGTTATAAGTACCCTAAGTAAGGTTGCAACCATAGTTCCCCTACTTATAAGTGCCCATGAACCTCCAAGCAGCCCTAAACCCTAAACCCCAAACCCTAAACCCGAAACCCTAAACCCCTAAACTGCCCATGAACCTCCAAGTAGGTATGCCCAGCCCATCCGGGGGCCCAAGCAGCTGGTCCGCGTCGACCAGGTCCAGGAGGCACTGCACGTACGCCTGGCTCTGGGGGCCTAAACTCTGCACCGTAACTTCTAAAACGCTAAGCCCTAAACCCTAAACCCTAAACTCTAAACCCGCTAAAAACCTCTAGGAAGGTAGTTTCAAAAGGGAGACTGGGAGGATGAGTTATAGGACGTTAGGGATTGTGGAAGTGCTAGATCCTAACCCCGTTTAAAAGTTGGCCGAGAGGTTGGATCTATGTGGTTTTGGAGTGTTGGGCTTGAGGGTGAGAAACCAAGGTTCGAGAGCAGGATTTGGGTTTTGGGCCAGCGTTATTGGCGTCCATTCGGGCCCCATGCTAACCCCCCACCCTAACAACCACCGCCCTACCCAAAATGGGACCCAAATAAGGCCTACTTATAAGGCCTACTTAAAGGTCATTATGCCATTGTGGGGTAGGGGTGGCTAGTGCAGGGCACGCATAGGCTGCCGTAATAAGGAAGCGTTGCAACAGCCTCTGCGGTTTGGGGGTTTTGGGATGGGGACTTTTGGGGACTGTCGCTATGGAAGTCTGGAAAATAAGCCCTGAATCGGCGTGTGGGGCTCTCTCTCGCTGGCGCCTCCCGCTGATCACTGCCGAAAATCGAGATCTTCTCGACGGTCTTCGCATCCAGCTGCGGCTTTACCTTCGCAGCAGTTCCCAAAAGCCCAAAACACCTGAAACCCTCAAATACCCCTCAAATACCCTTAAATACCCTTAAAAACCCGCAAATACCCCCAAATACCCTTAAATACCCTTAAATGCCCGTAAATACCCTTAGTGCCCTAAATGCCCTTAAATACCCTTAAATCCCTTAAATCCTCCTTAAACATCCCGTAGCCCCAAACCCCTGCCTGAGCTGCAACGAAAAGCCCAAGACCTTAAATGCACCTTGCGGCTCAGACTTTTTGGACACCAACCTGGCGTCCCCCAGCCGAAAGGTTTTGTTTGGGCTACTAGTAGGGTCAAACCCTCAAAGCAAAGGACCCCCCCAAAGGCCCCCCAAAGGAAATTTGAAAGCTCAAGCCCTGAACCCGAAACCTTATGTGGACCCCCAACATGTCCCATGGCGTCTGCTAGGGACACTGAAGCAAAGGCAGCGGAAGCAGCTGTGATGATGGGTAAGTCAGAGGTCTAGGTAGACCCAAGCGCAAGAAACTCAGAATTCGCCGCCAACCGAGTCCAGTTGCGAACGACCAGGCGATGCCGAAAACCCGCGGCGCGTTGATGATGATCATCCTCGTTTCACTCTTAGGGCCTTTAAGCACCGTTGAGAACCCCAGTGAGCTTCATGGGGATCCTCATATTTGCTCATAACAAGCTACTAGGGTACCAAGATGAACCAAGTTAAGTTCAAGTTCAAGCCCATTATGTAACTTTCAATCTTTGTATTCATTCGACATACAAACGATCGAAAACAACCAAAGCTTAAATAGGACCTTCATGCCCAAAAAGTTATAAGACCCATGGCCTTAACTTGTGGGATTATGAAAAAGAATCCTATATTATTCAATACAAGGTTTTTGTGCTTGCGCGCCCTCATGTTGTCCTCATGTTTGCGGACCTGCACGAACAAGAAGTGCAATGTGACGTCTCAGTTCAATTTACACCATTTTGCCCTTTGACCTGCCCCATGCTCATACAGATACGCGTGCGAATATCCGTGTATCAAATAAGATACGTTTACATGAAGCTATAACATACAGTACAACTACGCAACGATACATGTAACCACTCAGACTAAAACTTTTCAGCGTCGCTGACTATCAGCTTTAAACTTGTATTTTTCCTTCCGCGCACGAAGGATGCAATGCACAAGCTTCGTCGACAAGTATCAGCAGAACAAAACGAAACAACACATTCAATATTTGAGAGTCTTTGGGGAGCCAGACCCTCCGGGAAAGATGCTTTCCAGGATTGCGTCTGTTGTTGTTTTGTGGCATTTTGGTTCTCCGCGTACAAGAAAAGGGTAATGTTCAAATTTACAAAAGCCTATCTTTGAGGAATCTCGAGACCTGACAACGGCAACGCGCGATCTTAGCAAATACTTTCCAAGACAGAAACGCATTGTCTTCTCCAAGCCTTCAGAAATGGTACTCAAGGCCACCCTCTAGGGCCGCGTGCAGCACACACGTGTGCGCCCGCACGCGCGCCTGCACATGCACTGACACGACCAACGGCGAGTCGAACCCCCCATCCCGCAGATCGAGCATCCCTGGTGTCGATGGCTTCACAATCTTGTGCGACAGAAGGGTGGGGGAGCCAAGTCCACATCTGAAGGCCACGCCGAAGGCGCAAGAGATGACTTACCACTTCTAGCCAAAATGGCAAGGACAGCATGGGAAATGATGCATGGCCACCCAAACTCAACACATGCTATGCACAAGCATCATGGGTCCGTTACAAAACCTCATGCAAAAAGCCAGAAGCCTCCGAGATTCCCGGAGCCCAAGCTAGCGCACCCCAGACCCAGAAACGAGCTACCTTTGCGCTCAAGCCGTAAACCCCTGAACCCTAAACCCCAAACAAACCCCTACACCCTAGAACCCCAAATCCAAATCCGAAGACCTGAGCCCCATGAGCTCGCGCGTCCTTCCGCTGCACTCGGGATAATGGTTCTGCAACATGGCGACCACGTCCTGCATCCGAAGTTGGTGACGAAGCGACAAGTTCTTGGTTTTCTGCCTAGGCCTACGACCTCGGGAGCAGGTGAGGGCGGAAAGCTCCTCCTATAGGGTGAAATACGGGTTTGGGGTAGGAATGTCCTTGACCACCTTCCGCGCAGTCGTGTGCGTGACCTCTGCAGGCGAGGCTATCAGGGTTCTCACATTGGCTCTGGATGGAGCCTAAAACCCTAAACCCCTAAACCCCTTAACCCCTAAACCCCGAAGCCCCCCAAGCCGTAAGCCCCTAAACCCCCCAAGCCTGAAACCCTCAACCCTGAACCCTCAACCCTAAACCCCGCAAGCCTGAAACCCTCAACTGTGAACCTAAACCCTAAACCCTAAACCCTAAACCCTAAACCCTAAACCCTAAACCCTAAACCCTAAACCCTAAACCCTAAACCCTAAACCCTAAACCCTAAACCCTAAACCCTAAACCCTAAACCCTAAACCCTAAACCCCCCTCAACAGGGCACCCCCCGGGCCCGGGGCAATTGAGAAGCCGAGGCCCTCCAAGTCCATGATGTTCAAGGACCTCAAGGGTTTAGGGTTTAGGGTTTAGGGTTTAGGGTTTAGGGTTTAGGGTTTAGGGTTTAGGGTTTAGGGTTTAGGGTTTAGGGTTTAGGGTTTAGGGTTTAGGATTCTAAAGTCCCCCCCTCCCTTCAGGGCTCTTAGGGACATTAGCGTTTGAGGGGTTTTAGGGTTGTAGGCTTTAGGGTTGAGGGTGTGAGGGTTTTTAAGGTTTTGAGGGTTTAGGGTTTTTCGATGTTTTTAGGGTTTTAGGGTTTTTAGGGATATTAGGGTTTGAGGGCTTCCGGGAAGCCCTGGGCCCACCTCAAGCGCAGCCCTCCGAGGCGCCGGCTTGTCAACCACTTCTCCACGAACGAGGGAGCAGGCCTTGAGCTTCCCCCCACAGCTTTAGGGGGCTTTAGGGAGGGCTTAGGGGGCTCTAGGGGGCTTTAGGAGGGTTTAGGGGCTGGCTTTTAGGGGCTTTTAGGGGGCTTTAGGGGCCTGGGGGTTTGGGCTTCAGGTTTTGCAGTGCTTGGGTTGAAGGCTTCGGGCTTCATGCTTCGGCTTCAAGAGTCTGGTTTTCTGAATTTCCAGTAAAGGCCACTCAGTAGCAGGAGACCTTATGGCTGAAAGCCACAAGCTTGCTGGGTGTAGGTGCTGTTTCGGCTGGAGTGTGGTCACTATAAACAGTCATATAGTCAGAAGGGCTGAGGGCGAGGGTGCTGGCAATCTTTTGAGTAGCTTCGACAGCAAAACAGTAAACAGTAAAGAGGCACCTCCACACCCACCCCAGCCCAGCCCAGCCCACCCCAGAAACAGATGAAGGCTGCAGAAATGCACTGAAAGAGCCGCACCGGCAGCCGACGACGTATTTGCAGCTCCGTCTGCGCGTAGACGTACCTAGCTGGGGCGACTTAAGCGGTCCTGGGGCTCTCAGAGAGTTGCGGGGGTCGTGGTTTGTCGTCGTTTCGGAGAATTTTGGGATGATGGCGAGATTCTTGCATAGGAAACGGGATGCTAAGGGCGCAGGCTTCCGGACGGTTGGCTAGAACACACTAACAGGCATATCGAAAGACCGAGCTCCGTGCTGAAGAATCCTTTCACAGGACGTTGCCTGCGCAGGCAGGTTGAAACCGAACATCGTCACCAGAGCAAGTCTGAGCCCTCAACCCCCCAGCCCCTCAATTCTCGAACACTGAGGTAAGCAGCCCGCAACATTCTCGGAATCATGATTGGCGACGGTGTGTAGCCGCCATGGTACCCAGGATTCATGGCTCCACCTGTGCTGGATGGCACCTCATACTGGCCCCAAACTGCCTGCAGCAAGCGCGGCATGTCGATGTGGCCGGGCCGCTCAATGTACAAAGGACCTGGAGCAAGGTCTGGGTTTTTGGCGGACATGCATTGGTGAAGCCGAAAGGCTTCTGGTACCCTGTCACACGGTACAGTATCTACAGTGTGTCCTCCCCAAAAACCGCAGCGCATCAGCAGCATCAGCGGGGTTGGCATGGGAAAGCGACAAGGGCTTGTTGCAGCAGAGCATGCAGAGCAGAAACCAGGGGTCAGGCGCGTGCGCGCGCACGCGTGTGGGCGACAATGCTTAAAATCAACGAGCCCTAGGCCACCCTAAACCCTAAACCCTATGCCCCAAGCCGGCTGCGGGCGACTAGACTGACCTATCTGACAGCTCTTTGCGCAAGAGGAGGGGTGGGCTCTAAAGAGACCAGGCCCCCGCACGGCCCAGCTTGTCCGTGCCGTGGTATGCCTCCCACGGAACCAAACTTCAGGGAGACGGAACTATGTATCCAGAGTATCGACTAAACTGATCTCTACTGCAGATTTGCACGATTTTGTACGTTTACTGCAATACTACAACGACGCTGGCTGCTGGAAAAACAACGAGTTTAGTCTTCGCACCATGGTCCCTGCATCTTTTGCCGAGCGCTTGAGGAGTCGCTGCTCCGTCAGGGTTGGTGCTTGGCCGAACTAGATCGTAACCCTAAACCCTAAACCCTAAACCCTAAACCCTAAACCCTAAACCCTAATAAACCCTAAACCCTAAACCCTAAACCCTAAACCGCCGATGAAGAAGGATGTCCTGCTTCCGAGGGTCTCAGAGCCTAATCCCAGTGAAGCTGGTACAGGAAAGGCCTCAACTTTAAGCTTCACCCAAAGCAGACTCCCCAGAAGTATCCAAGCGCGAGGGTAGGGGACATGAAAAGCCATTCCAACTTGGCACCCAGCTTGTCATGGTCGCCGCATCTTGATTTAAGGCTTTGGCACTAGCCCCTCAAGCCCCAAAACCCCAAATCCCTGGCAAGGCCCGTGGAGAGGCAGTGGTGTAGGCTTTGGGTGTAGGAGTTGAAGATTTAGGTTTGAAGACTTCTAGGGCTCGGGTTGTTTTAGGGGGCGTCCTTTCGAGTTGTCTTAAGGCTCGAGGGTTTGAAGGTTTTGAGCCGCCCATGAGCCCGCAAGCCCCCAAGACCCTCCACTCACCGATTCCCGAAAACAGGGGCCTGCGGGTAGTAGCGCTTGATGTGAACCTGGAACTCTGGGGGTTGTGTTGTATGTTTCGGTTCAGGGGGCTGTAGGGTTTTGGGGTGAGGGTTCAGAGCCTTGCTAGATGACAGTTTGGGGTTCGCTGGGCAGGCGACCTTGGTCCGGGAGGACCTGTTTGTTGACGTGCTGCGCAGAGCCAAGTCCACAGTCATCCATGGGCCCTTGGAGGCCCTGAAAGGGTGGGCGCACGCGCGCGCGCGCGAAAAGCCTATGGCTATGTACCTATGTACAGGACATCTAGAGCAGATAAAGCGAAGACTTGACAACGCTGCCCATCCTTACTGCCACGGCATGTGAAGTTTGGAACTGATAATCCATGGCCACTGGCGAAAATCAGCAAAGCACAGCTTCCGAGCGCAAAACAAGCACGGACGAGCACAGCTCTGACACGGAGATGCACAATCTGAGCAACTGACTCCTAGTTATTGTCGTGAGTGTTGGCCTGTTGACACGACGATTCTGTGCTTGTCCAAGAACGATAACAGTTGCGCATGACAACGCGCCGCGCACACGTGTCTGACCTCCGAGCTTTCCAGCATGCTGCGGATAAACCACTTTTCGCGCAGTGTGCATCTAGAAGCAAGCATCAACAATGCAGTCCTTGAAAAAACTTTGCAAACACTTTCGGGAAATAACCCAACAAGCCCCAAAACCCTGCGACCCTAAACCCCCGCCTCCTCCGGAAAGGGGTCCTTGAGCAGCGTCTCCATGTTGGTCTCAGCCAGCCACCTGCTGGACAGGCCCGGACACGCTTTTGTGTTTCGGGGCTTTGGGACGTTTAGTTGAGATGTTGGGCGTTTGTTTTGGGGTTTTGGGGTTTCGGGGCTTGCGACTTAGCAACTCCCACCCCGACCCAGATTCCATCCCCAAAACCCCCAAAACCCCCGCCCAATAAAGCTCTGAACCCCCGACACTCTTGGGCCGTGGGGTCTGGCGCGTCTGGGCCGATTTAGAGCTGAGGTTGTTTTTGAACACTCCTGGGCCACTTGAGAATTTCCCCCCCAAAGCCCCAAACTGCAAGTTGCACCCCTGCCTGTAGTGGCCTTCGAGCATGGAGACCGCCTTCTCAACGTCCCACCTGACGTCGCCGGAGCCGGCGCTTTGGTGTCAGCAACTAAGCGAGTCGGCGAGGATCAAGAGGGAGCTCCAGCGACGACACGCTGGTGTGTGACATTGAGGGCGGGGCTGTCTGGCGATGAGAAAGCGCACCAACATGTGGTCGCTGCGCATGTAGCTGATCTTATCCTGCTGCAAGGATCTGGGCCCCTGGACCCATCCTTCCGAAACCTGAAAATCCCAACTGCGACCTCCGACCCCTGGTTGAGGGTTTGGGGTAGCCCTGAACCTCAACCCTCAAAACCCTATAAGCTGCGGCCCTAAACCCTCTCTCTCACCCCCGGCCCTTCTTGCCTCCGCAGAGCCCGGCTTGGGTCCCTCCTGCGGTTTAGGCGACGGGTGCCCCAGGCCGCCTCACCCCTCTTGGGGGGGTTTTTGGGTGTTTGGTGTGGGGTTTTAGGTGGCTTTGGGGTCCCGAGAGGTGTGAGCTCCGGAAACCTTCCACGCGCGAGTTCTGAATGTTAGGGTTTGGGCTTCGGACCTTTCAGTGCAGGCTATCAAGGCAAACCCCAAACCCCAAGCTGCAGCCTGCCCTAAACCCCAAACCCTAAACCCCAAACCCTAAACCCCAAACCCTAAACCCTAAACCCTAAACCCCAAACGCTAACACCCTTTCAACTTCCCCCACTCCTTGCCGTTGACGCGCTGGCGGACGGCCTCCAGCCGAGCCTTGCCATCCTGGGGGGGAGGAGGGTTCAGGGTTTAGGGTTTAGGGTTTGGGGTTTAAGGTTTAGGGTTTAGGGCTTAGGGTTTAGGGTTTAGGGTTTCGGGATTAGGGTTTAGGATTTAGGGGGGAGGGGCTGTTCGGGGTTTCGGGTTTGGAACTGAGGGTTTGGGTATTCGGGGGTGCCCGAATAACGAAAATGTAAACTGGAGCGTGAGGCCAGACCGCAAAGCACCGAGCCCCCTCATGGTAAAAAAAAACGCTGAAGCCTGATCACAAACCTGAAAAGTTCATCGCGAGACTACACCCTGAACCCCTTAAAGGGCATGGGGCTTGTCAGGGACGGGTTTTGTGAACAGCACTCTGCTTGTTTTGTGATCGCGTCTTGTGATTTTCGCCTCGGTTTTTCGAGCAAGGCTTCACTGACGGTTCAGGTCCTGGCTTTAAGTTCAGGGGTCTCGGGGATCGCGGTGAAGGCTTGGGGGTTTAGAGGTTTAAGTCATGTGGGCTACAGGACCAAACCCTAAACCCTAAACTCTAAACCTCAAACTCTAAACCCTAAACCCGAAACCCTAAAAAGCTCCCCAAGGAGCCCCGTACGCAACACCGCGAGGTTGCCCGAGACCGCGGCCACGCCGGGTGGGATGGTCTGGAGGTTTTTGCCTTGGCGGGGTCAGCAGATTTGAGGGAGGGCTTTTTGGGGCGAAGTTCAGGATTCTACCGGCTTGGGGGTGCAGGGTCGGATCTTTAGGACTGTTTCAGGGTACAGCTCTTCCAATCAGGGTGGGTGAGGGTGTAGGGTGCATTATAGCTGCCCCAAGACTGAGGCTGCCACCGTACATGGAGGCATCACGGAGTGCCCCGCGGGTGGCTCATGCGTTCGGTCTGCTGTGAACGTGGAGAGTGAGGGCTTGAGGTGCGGGGGTGTCCCCTAAAACCCTGCTCCCTGAATTGGCAGACCCTGAACTGCAAACTCTAAAGCTTTCGGTAGAGTCGAGCGCTTCGGCCTGGGGCCGCAGATTATGTTGCGTGGCAACTGGCATGAAGGGTTAAAGGCTGAAGTCCTTGAAGTCCGGTTTCGGGCTTCGGGCCAACAACGTTTGGGATGATGTTTTCGCGAGGAAGCTGCTGTGATGGCCAGAGAAGGCTGCTGTGGGAGATGCGAGTTTGCTTTCAGCTCTGGAGTTGAGCTTGGAGGTTTAGAGGCGACCCGAAAATCCTACCCAAATTACCCTACATACGTATATACTCTCGGAAAGAGAAGATCCGTTCCTTAATTTTAGAGCACGGGGGGTATGAACTAAAACAAAACCCTGACTCCTGGCAAACCCTTGCGGGTTTTGCGAACTGAAGGCCTGGACGGGCACGTTTGAGTCACAGAGCAACCCGACCCCATCCCGGCCCATCCCCCACCCCCCACCTCCAAATCTTGCAAAGCAGGGTTGCGGCGTAGGGTTCAAAAGCTCGTGGAGTGGGGTTGAATGCTCTAGCGGTGCCTTCGGCTTGGCACCTCAGAGGTAGGCCCTGAACCCAGAACCCAGAACCTTAAACCGATGGCTGGCACAGTTTTTTTGTCGCATGGGGGGGAAGATTCTGCTGGCATGCAACCTGCGCGGCAACAAAGGGGTCCAATGTCGGAGGATGCGCTCTCACTCCTTTCTCTGAATCTGCCGTCTGACCTGCGGGGCAAACGGAAAAGCAGCAAGTTAGGGTTTGGGGTTTGGGGTTTAGGGTTTAGGGTTTAGGGTGTAGGGTGTAGGGTTTAGGGTTTAAGATTTGGGTTTAGGGTTTAGGGCTTAGGGTTTACGTTTTACGGTTTACGGTTTAGGATTTAGGGTTCAGGGTTCAGGGTTCAGGGTTCAGGGTTCAGGGTTCAGGGTTTAGGGTTGAGGGTTTAGGGTTTCAGGTTTCAGGGTTGCGGGCATGGGGGCTGGGGAAAATGCATCTTGCGCATTTCGTCAACAGGCGCTAAGGGAGCTGCTGGTTGTTGAACAGCTGTATTTCTCGGTTCTATTCAAAGCGGCAGCGCAACGAAGTTGCAGGGGCCACGGGAACAAACATGCGCCTTGGCTTCGGGCACATTGTGGCATCGAACTTGGCAACTTTGGCAGCACCAAACACGATGCAGTTTGAGACGATGTTGTCCATGATGGTTCTTAAGGACCGGCCAACTCAGAGGAGTGAAGCCAACCCAGCGCATAGCAGTAAAAGTCTGCTGAGCATAGAACTTCCCACGGCAAAGGCGCAATGGGGACACTGCCACGAGGCCATGGATCCCGTTTTAACGTCAAAGGTAGAAGAGGGACGCTTTCGGTGATCAGTGGGTCTTCCAGGGCGGCACCGAACATTACGCGTGTACTTTTGCACGGTCAGCTGACGGGCAGCGCTAGCGACCTTTTGAAAAGGACACAAAGGGCATGACCAGCACCGTGTCGAGGCTGTTCCAGCAGAGGGCTCCTTGACAAAGGCATCGTCAACTGCGTTGGAGGGGTCCGCCTGGAAGTCATCAACGCTGGGCGGCGGCCATCGGAATCCAAAGTGAGGTTCGAGGCAAAGGCTGACCGGGGCCAGGAAGCCTGGGCCACCACAAGGAATTGGACCACCAAGCCGAGAATCACTTTCGTAATGTCCTCGATCCTGCAAATGTCGGAGCTCAGCGGGAGTGGGCTGTCAAGTGGCTCGGAGGCGGAGGCACACTGCCAAAGTCGGACAGGGTAGTGACCGCTTTCTTGGAAGCAAAGTCTGAAAGCCTCAGAGAGCATGTGTCAGGGGCGCCGCCTCGGAGAAGAAGCGCAGGTCCAGGGGCACCGGCCTCACGTTGCTCCTTAAGCTTGATTGCCCACTCAAGTGGGTCAGCGTACCACAGGTAGACCGACTGGTCTCGACCCTTCTCATTGAAGGTCCAAACTTGCCCCTGGTCGTTCCCAATCCAAATTTGGACGCCATGAGCCTCAGCGAAAGCGAGGATTTCAAGAGCTCCACCCCAGCACCCAGGGGCCTTCTGGCGGTCTAAGTACTGGGAGAAAGTGGCATTGGCACAGAGTTCTTCAAAGCGCTTGAAGTGCTTCGTCACGCAGGCACAGGCAAAGGCCCTGATATGTCGGTGGGATCTCGCACCACCGTCGCGACTGGTGTCTCCAAAGGCGTTGAGGCTTTGGGCTAAGGCGTGATAAACGCAATCTCCACATCCAGGATTCTTCTTGATGGTGCCCGAGGGAGTCCAGGGGACGCTGGTAGCGCTTTTGGCTATGAATCTGCTCAGAGAGAAGTCCTGCCTGTGAGAACCCAGGACCTGCAGCTCGCCAGGGACTGTGTCAGACATTTTCTCAAGGTCCTCTGGTGCGTCACACTGCTCGTCCGGGGAAGGCCAGTGAACCGAAGTGAACTGAACCCTACGTTCGAGGCGCACAGGTGTAGTCACTAGCCTTGGAGCGTCACATGTTCTCCAAAACAGGCTGGACTTGAAAGGCCTCTTGTTCGCGCTCCACGTCACCAATGACAACACGCAAATCACCGCTCCTCTTAGCCGTGAAATGCCACCTGGCCCCAGCTTTAGCGGAGCGCCTCATCTTGATGTCAACATTGCGGAAGGCCATCTTTCCAAGAGCAACAAGGCGGTGTCCCTGCGGAAGCTGTGCGGGATCCAGTTAATCGACCATCGGCGCTGGGGGGAAACGAACCCAGAGTCCCTTTCCGTCACACGAATTCCCAGCTGGCTGATGATCTCGCCGCCTGACGATGCCAAACGATGTTTCCTTCAGGGCTCGCTTCAGATACTGTTGCCAATCCTCTTGTTTGCCCCATTCCAACCAGAGGGTCCAATTTGCATGGAAGGAAGGGGGAAGGAGCAGCCGAAATAAGACGCAAGCTCCTTCGAAATCTTACCACTGGAAGCCAACAGCTCTGAGGCCGCATTAGGGTCGAAAACTTCGAGGAATCCTGCAATGACTTCCCCTGGCCGAGACTCCCAAGAGAAGGTATCCCCCCAAATCCTCAAGGGCGCCCGGAGCAGTAGCAGAGATCCAACGTCGGAGTAGGCAGCGCTGGGGCGAGAACCTCCACTGATACGCCGCACGAAGAACGTGAGACTGCAACAAATTCCGAGAAGGAGCTTTGAAGGTCTGCGCTCTACGAGCCCGCAAAGAAGGAGGGCTGACCCCGAAGCAGAAAACCCACCAGGTCCTGCACATCAACTGTGAACCAAGTTTCCCTGAAACCTTTGTCCGAAGGCTGCCATCCTTAAAGTCAACGAGGGACTCAGGAAGGTCCTCACGAGTCTTGTGCGCATGCAAGAAATGAAAGAACGAATGAAAGAATGAAAAACAAAAGGAGGTAGTCTGGGATGTTATCGATTGTTGAAGGGTTCCCTTCAGCTCTTGCCACATGTCTTGTGCGTGCAAACACCCACCGTGGGGCTCGAACCCACGACCACAAGGTTAAGGGCCTTGCGCTCTGCCGACTGAGCTAGGCGGGCTTCTGCATATTTCCAGAAAAAGCTAGAGTAAACATACCAATAAAGCCAAGTGTGCCACAGTGAAGCTTTCTGCAGAGCACACCCTTAGGAATTGGAGTTCAAGCATTTGAGATGGCCTCTTCACAGGAAGATGATGCACCTGCCGGGAGTCGAGCCCGGGGCACAAGCATGGGAGGCTTGTATGTTGCCGCTACACTACAGGTGCCCTTAAGTGAGGGGGACGGCTGACTCTCACTTATCAAGATAGAAACACCAAAGCAAGTTGAATGTTCTAACTTCGAAGTTCTAACTATTCCCCACCATGTAAATGGAGCTCTGAGCTTACATTTACATGGCCATGTAAATGGAGCTCTGAGCCAACATTTACATGGCGGTGGAGAGCACGCCACGCCATGTAAATGGTCAGCATTGGTCATGACAGCAGTAGCTCCGCACGGGGAGGATCACTTCGAGACCAATCCTTCTGGGATGAGCGTGGTCTCGGGAAATCTCTAAACCACAACTACAATCAAAGCGGTCGAGGCCAAAGCGCTCCCACGCCGGAGCAGCCCGTAGCCAGAGCAGAATACCGCAGTTGAGTGTACCAAGGACTGCAAGTGAGCGCGCCAACGCTTGAGCCACCACCTGCACTAGCCTGACAGTCCGGCGCAGATTGTTTAGCTCGACCTTTGCAAGGCGACGAGCAGCAGGCTCACTCAAGGCCAAAATCGAAAGAAACGCCAAGAGCATCCTGCGAAGCTCGTAACCCAAGGTGTTGGCTACACCGCAATCCCCTCGGAGGACGAAGCCACGCGGCCCACCGCCGACTTCACCTTGTCGCAGCTGAAGCGAAAGGCCTCATCCAAAAGAGCACTAGCACGGTCGGACCAAACATACCTGTCGTCCCTGAAGGAGAGCGATTTGGCTCCCGAGGTCGCGGTAGCTATTGCACAACTCCACACCGCCATTAAGCACGCGGCGAGCATCGGCGACAACGGGCACCCTTGCGCCAGGATTTCTGTAGAAACCAGCCACCAGCCGTCCAAGGCCCACAGGCGCCTGCCACCGCTGCAGCGCGACACGCACGTTTACCTGCGGAGGCTTGGGCGGCGCTTAGCACACCTCCGTAAATGCCCCTGGGACCGTCAGCTACGTCGTCGCGCGCAGGGTCAGTTGTGGGCTTTGCAAGATGACTTCAAGTGGTTGGCGTCGCTGGACTGGACTTCACCTGAGGACTACGCCGATGAGCTCTTAGACTTCATTGACTCGAGCGCGCGAAGGCGTGGCAGGCTGGGACGAGGGTCTCCCTGGCAGCACAGAGGACGTGGATCAGGCGGCGAGCTAGCTCACTTGGAGCGTGAGGTTGGAGGGCCCAAGCTTGTGGCGGGC